GTGTGTGTGTATATATACTGCTTAGTAAAAGTAACATGGCAGTACTTTTCTCGACGAGGTAAATGAATATGAACATAAGATAAGAACTGGCGAAAAAAATTGGACACAGATCCTACGCCGATAAGCACCCGATGGCGACAGACGGGGCAGCGGGAGGCGCGGCGTGTCTTTATAACGCTGGGCAATTTGCAAAAAATAAGTAATACAGTTTCAGTTGAAAACCAAAATTTAGCAGGTTGTCTGTAGTATTTAAAGAAAAATATTTTCATACAAAAATGATGTACGAAGCTAGATATTTTATTCTTAAGTAAACCCTTAAAGTCTAAATACTTTTATTTAACCTGTTTTCAGGATTTTGCATAATCGAATAAAGTACATCCTATCTACGTCATATAATGGGTTAAAAGCCTTCTGCTCTTTCATTTGGTACTGTAGTCAAGGCCATCGGCTACTAACTGCAAAAAAAATATTAGGTCATTCTTTGGCCGTGCGTCGAACAATTAACAACTCCTGAGAACGCCTCGTAAAAAGGCGAAATATGTGTCGGGTATACTTTTGGTGGTGGTGTTTGTGATTGTAGTTGCATTCCCTAAGTTTATACGGAGGAAGGGTGAAAATGTTAACTGCATGTAAAATGCTTGTAACCAACACAAGCGCAGTTATTTTGCACGATTTGGCTTTCACTGGGTTCGCGAGGTAGCAAAATAATGTACCTACTTCTATTTTTATTAGGTACGGTCAATTTACAGAACACATTTGAACGAAAATAAGCATTAACATTTTTTCTATTCCAGATATCACAAGGCAATAAAATAGTATTTCAAAGTTTGCCTGTGTTATGGTTTACTATAAGAGGTGCCGGTGTCTTCTTAGTTGTCTACTTGGTTAATAAGCGTTATGTATTAGATACAAGAACGCTGTTACGAAGGATCAACTACGTATGTAAACACAAAATATTCGGGAAATATTACATTAATCATAACACATTGTGTATTAAGGGCGGAAAATAAGAAATTATTAAACGAGATTTTATGAGAACTGTTTGTTTAATAATTGAATGGGTCGAGGTTTGTATTTTTTGCCGCCCGTGCTACATACAATGTTTGTCATCTATTTGCGAGGAAATAGATCCAACGATAATTTATTTCTTGTATGAATAAATACATATAAAAATGTGGCCACGTGGCTGCATCCGTTATTGCCTTGTATAACATTTTAGTTCTATTTATAATACCTATTTATGGAAGAATAGCTGGCAATCCATTTACAAAAAAGCCGCCTTTTGCAAAATCCGTAAATGTTGTGTTGTGAAGCGATATTTATTCATAAAGAAATAAATTATCGTTAGATCTATTTCCTCGCAAATCGATGAAAAACATTATATGTAGCACGGGCAGCAAAAATTGCAAACCTCTACTCATTAAAGCCCTCAAGCCTTCGGCTTCGACCTCACAGCATATATTACTAACATCATATTTCTGTTCGATGACTTTTTGAACAAGACTTCATCAATTCAGAATGTTCAGTAGGTATTCCATTTCTATTTGATAATCATATTTCATAATCAAGATACCAATTTTATTTAACAAAGGTTATTTTCAATATAGTACGAGTATACTGTGATGTACACCTTAATTTTTTTTCAAACTATACCTACAACTATAGTAGTTTATGTGACTGTTACATAATGAAAGGCATTAATAATATGAGTGTGAAAAGTTATTCAACCTTATCCCTTCCTCTCCTTTCCATCAGCGGACCACCCGTGCCGGACTGCGTTGCCACAGATGGACGGTCAGTTCAATACCGTCCCCCACTAAAAAGTTTGGCAATTCGTTTTTATGCCGAACCATCAAATTGTGGAACCAACTCCCGGCGCATGTATTCCCTCCCCTCTATAACATCGGGTCCTTCAAACGTAGTGTGAAGAAGCATTTGGCCAGACCGGCTAAATGATAGTGACGGAGTGAAGATATTTGTATTTTCCATCCGTTACTCTCATCTCTGGACTGTATTCGCACTTTCCATCAGGCGCGGTGCAGTCATTTTGCCGAGTCACAATAAAAAAAAAAAAAAAAAAAAAGAAGTGTGATGTTCATAAAAACATCACACGAGTGTTTTAATGCCTAATTATGTACAGTTACATACACTGCTTTACTATACACATATTATAAGCTCTCTATGATGTGTTCAGGAACCGCATGTTACGACCGGCATAGCGGCATTGATCAGAGATATTAGCAGTAATTATTAGTAAAACGAGCCCGAACCCCAAGGTGGGGTCGGGCTCGGCCTGCGGCGCGTGGTCGCTTTCAGATGATGGGGTGTGCTTATGCTCGTCGGTGGCACACTGATTAGTACTATGGGCGCTTGATGAGGAGATTTCATTCGATCCCTTATTTGAGCCAATTTATGAAAAAAAAACTTTTTTAAGTTGGTCCTCGTTTTAAATTATCGTTGCTCTGGTACTCATAGTACAGGAAATTCCCTAGTTTGAGACCAGAAATTTGAAGTGATTGTCTGGCATTTTTCCCTAAATACTTCTCTTTTTGGAATAGCTTCCAATAAAAAAGAATCTAATAGAGAGACGGTCGAGATACAACAACGCTATAAATTATTTCCACTACATCGGAAAGTATGCCTTACATTTTGAACAATTGTGTAATCTAGTCCCCGTATACTACCTACGTAAGGCGGCGTGCGGACGCTTCGGGCTTCGCCCTCCGCTAGACCTCGGCCTACGGCCTCGGCACTTATGACTTTCTTTAATGGCGGCTACATTGATAAATGGCAAAAAGTTAATTTTGACTGCATATTATTATTAAACACCTATAGAGATACCCACACGCCGATTTTCAGCTGAATTAGAGCTGATTTCCATCTGCCGCCAAAAGGTTTATATGGCAGTCATATTAAAAGATGGAGAAAAATAAATTTTGACCGCAAATTATTATTAAACACCGATAGACCCCCACATGCCGATTTTCAGTCGAATTAGAACAAATTTTCATCTGCCGCCAAAAAACACTTCTATGGCAGCCATATTGAAAAATGGCGAAAAAACAATTTTAATCACAAATTATTATCAAGCACTCCTACAGACCCCCATATGCGAATTTTCAAATGGATCGGAGCAATTTTTTTTCTGCCGCCAACGAACGCTTCTATGACGGCCATATTTGAAAATGGCGAAAAACCAATTTCGAGCACAAATTATTATATGGCACTTCTAGAGGCCTCCATATGTCAATGTTCAGCTGGAACAGAACGAGTCTCTTTCGGCAGCTATTTTTAACGAAAAAAAGAATTATATGGCAGCCATATTAAAAAATGGCGAAAAAAAACTTTTCACCCCAAATTATGATTAAGGACTCTTAAAGACCTCCGCATGCCAATTTTCAGCCGCATCGAAGCAAGTTTTTCTTTGGCCGCCATTTTGGATTCGCCATCTTGAATTTTTTACGCAGGCAGTTGACCACTATTACCCTCTATGACATTCCTTCCAGCACCTTCTACCTATCTGTAATAGTTTCCGTGATAGAAGGCTTCGAAATTTGTATGGCGGCCATCTTGTTTATTTCAATTTCGAACATTTTTTTACTGTCCGCAGAAATTGACCAAGGTGTATCTCATAAAAGTGCACAAATATCCGCCCATGTATTATAGTTTTTGCAGGCCGTTGATCACTCGTTTACATTTTCTACAATCAGGTCTCATATTTGATTCTTTGCCTTGGAACCTATCCGCGTACAACGGTATAAGTATCTTTTTTCCAAAATATCGTGAAGTGTGCGTTCTATTTTTCTAACTGAGTCAGGATTTGTAGCTTTATATATGTATATAACTAGATGGCGCGCGTTGCGCCGGGCTTTGTTTATATCTAGTGACAAATTGGGAGTTGATCGAACTTCATATTTCAGTAGAGAATTCTCTTTGTTTGACTTTGAGTGGGAGTGGCGGCCATTTTGTTTTTCGAATTTCGAACATTTTTCACCGCTTGTAAAAACTGCCCAGGGTGTGGACCAACATTTGTTTAGAGACCTCGGTGCCAAGACATATACTGTTGGCCCGGCAGTTGAAATCCTGCCTGATGCGGAGCACTTTTCGAAGGTTTTGGTAATTCCTGATACTTACCAAATCCATCAAACCATTATTCGCAAACATCAATCTTATACACCCGCTCTTGTTTTGGAAGAAAAATGCTGGTCAAAAAACCAATAATTCACTTATATGACGGCCATCTTGGAAAATGGTGGCAGAATCCAAATTTCGTTAGCAGATACATACTATGAGCCCCCATACACGATCGCATGTTAAATTTCAGTCGGATCGGAGCACTTTTATTTCGTGCCGCCATTTTGAGTCCGCCATCTTGAAATTTTCTTTACCTGCAGTCGGCTCGTACTATTCTGTACGACATTTGCTTGAGCGCCTCTCATCTATCTCCAACACTTGCCGAGATGTAAACCTCAGAACATAGTGGACTGTTGATAATGTATGGCGGCCATGTTGGAAAATGGCGTAATCAAAAATTTGACCACATATTCATATTACGAGCTCCCAAACGTAGAAGGCTATAAAATTTCAGCCGGATCGGAGCACCTTTATGTCGGGCCGCCATCTTGGATCGGCCGTTTTGAAAAAATAATTTTGACAGCCAATTGGGTCCTGTCGCCCTCTGCGATATTAGTTTGAACACGATCTACCTATCTCCAATACTTTGCGAGCTACAGGCCCGCAAAATTTGTATGGCGGCCATTTTGTTTTTCGAATTTAAAATTTTTTTCACTCCCACTAGAAACTGCCGAGGGCGTGAATAAATATTTGTTTGGACAGTTTGAGCCAAGACGCATACTTTGGCCGGGCAGTTGGAGTCCTACCTGATGCGGAGCACTTTTCGAAGATTACGTTACCTTCTGGTACTCGCCAAATTTGTCTGACCATAATTCACCTACATTATTTTTATCCGACGCCCGTCTTCTGGGAGAAAAACGACGCAAAGGGCAAAAAATTCACAGGTATGGCGGTCATCTTGGAAAATGACGGAATCGAAATTTCGACCGCATATTCCTATTGCGGGCCCCCATTCACGTCCGCATGGTAGTCACGAGCGACTGCAAGTTGTGACAAGTCACGTCAAACGAACACGTTAGCCGAACAATGTGAAGTCAAATAGCCTGTCTATACGTTGGTATTGGCCTTCACCCGGCAACGTTGGACCAACATGGTCATTGTATTGCTGGCTTTATAAAATAAGAATTTTTAGTCGTTAGTGTTGTCAGTGGGAAAAAATCGTAAACGAGTGGATAATTTTGGCAAAATTGGCAAGATTTATGAATAAACTACTTAGATATGTCTAATTACATGAGATATCTGGGCTTTTGTGTGATTTATAGACAGAAAAATAACACGTGCCTGTACAATGTTACATTCGGCCTATCTTCGCTTTCTCAAATGCCACATCCCTTAATACTGCAGCGACGAATTTTTATTAATACTTAATTGTTCTCACTGTCAATATTTTTGTCCACTTTATTACAATACATGCGAATAATTCAATAAAACCTTGGAAAAACATTTGTTTTGACATTTGATGTACTTCCCTTTGACAACCGTATCATGTACCTCATGTACTGCGAAATGGACACGGTTGGCATTTAAGATGACGTTACGTATTTTCGATTCTCATGTTTGACACAGACCAGTGTAATGCTATCTCTTTTGACTTAAGACGGCACGCAATGGTTAAACAAAGACAATAACATGTTTATGTTTTCAACGTCGAAGTGCTTCATATACATGTAACGTCTGATTTATATATGTCAACATAACATGTTCTTTAGTTTCCATAGTCTAAGGCCCTAACTATCATATCGTTTGATATCAAGTAACGTGTGAGGTTTGTCAAAATTGCTTACTATTGACATTTCATTTCGAATTAAACCTTTATCTCGACTGATCTTAGATTGAGGTCATCAAATTGTTTTATTTTTCAGAGATGTTCGAAATTTGAATGTTAACTTAACAATCTTCACTGATAAGACATTTGTTCTAACAAAAAACAGTTTATCTTTATGCTGGTCGTAATTTGCGGTTTTTGAACACATCATAGAGGGTTTATGATATGTGTGTAGATAAAAATAATAATATAGCCCTGCGCTCCGAGCGAGTATAGGAATTTAAAAAATAATAGGAGGGAGTTGCACTACTTGCTCTTGTTATACTATGGTAATCTTGCCCTTTCACGCACACTACGGAAATTATACTGCGCACAAAACTGTCACTACTTTTCTCTATACGGTAGTGCTTATATTGATTCAATATAAGCGTGCTAATTTTGAAAAGCAAAGTCTTTAAGTGCTTTTCATTTAAACGCCTATCTCAACTCCTGCTATATTTCTTGCAAATGTTTCTTGTGCATGAGAAAGTACGGCTATGACAGTAGCCATTGAGAGATAATTACAAAGTTAAAATGCGCGATATTGATATGAAAGTAGTACCTACACTGTATGTATCATTTAGTTCTTCATCAAATTTAAACCAAAATAAAGTAAATCATATCATCTAGGTACATGTCAGATAATACCTACCTAACTAACCTGATTTAAAGTGTAAAACCACGTTTCATTATTATTCATTAAAGAAACCCTATTGCAGTACACAATATTGACTTATTGAATTACAAGAAAATGATGCACGGAAAACTTAATTTACTGTCAGAATGTTCCAGCCCGAAAACAAAATACACAGTTTTTTTGTAGACCATAAATGGCGGATTTGTTTAGTGTTGTAGGTATCATCAATAAGTTAATATCGAATGCAAATGGATATTAGAAAGAAATTTTTAAAAGCTTTCCAAATAGTGTAAGCTGTTTTGTATTTATGTCAATAAGTTAATATCGAATGCAAATGGATATTAGAAAGAAATTTTTAAAAGGTTTCCAAATAGTGTACGCTGTTTTGTATTTATGCATTGGTATAGAATTAACATCAATGATTTTGATTTAGGTGAATGAAATAAATAAAATTACTTACTTGTATAATAGTAGTCATATTATAGATAATCATAATAATACGCTTATTTGTTTAATACACGGTATAACAGAAGATGTCACAAGATACATTATATATTTCGCATGTTAAATAACCATATGGTAAATGTCCCAGTGGTTGACGTGTTTAGACGGAAAATCACGTGTTTTGCTAAAAATTGTACCAGTGTATGACAGACCAAATTTGTAATGTCCCAATAGTTGACTATGGCAAAAGGAGATCAGTGTACTTGTATTTGACAGGACGTTATATTAAGATATAGATAGTTATTTAATTGCATTACTTTAATAACAATAAATTTAAAGAACAAACGCCAAAATTCAAGATTATTTTATTAAAATTAATGAGTACAATTGATGAATGAAAAATGAAAAAATTAATAGGTACATCTGCAATAAGATTGCAAAAAAACTGAACACAAAAATGAAACTTAAATGTCACACGACCATAACATATTTATACACTTTTAAATAGCATTAAAAGTATTTTCATCTTGCAGCGATAGGAATCCCTTTCGACACTTCATCATCATTATAATGCAACCCCCTTAGTGGCATTTTCTCATTGCACAATCCCTTCAGGTACCAATACTTGACATAGTTACGGCCTAGTGGTTGACACCTCAGTATACGAGTGTCAAGCATTGAGTGCCCGTAGTATAACAGTCTTTCACACCCACGTCAAACAGTACTCAAACTACTCACAGAAACTTGTCACTAACAGACTAATCCAAACCTACGTTCTCCGTCCTTACCAAATGGTGGAAATAAAGTTTAAAAAATATTCATTTGTCAACGAGCCCTTGACATGGGTGTCAACTACTACTAAACGTTGCAATTTTGCACCAGTGTTTGACATGCCTCTAAAATAAAACACAAAATAAATTGTTTGTACAGTTACCTAATAGTTTAAAAAAAAACACTTATCGATAATTAACCAAATTCCAACTAATAAACGCACTCAAACTATTCAAAGCCTTAACGATCTTCGGAAGAATAAAATGAAAATAAATTCCTTTGAATAACATGTTAACATGTTATTCAAAGGAATAACATGTTAACATCCACACGCAAAATAGGCGCTTTGTCGTCGAGTTGCGGATACCACCCCGTTGCACCAAGTACCAAGTAACATGTTAACATCTTATTTGAAACATGTTATATCGGTAATCGTTTATGCAAAATGAATTGAAACGAACGAAGTTTTACAGGCAGCATTTTTACAAAATTATAACCTTATGCAGTGCAGTGAATAGACATGTTACAAAAATAGCAATAACTTCACTCACACTTTACATTATTTTTGCCTAACGAAGACTTATAACTATAATATCTAGTTATTATTAAAAACTACACAATTACTACCTCAAAGGAAAACCTTCAAAATCGATCACTTGCTGTAAACGGTCTTTCATGCCTGAGACCAGCATACATCCCACATAAATAACGCACACACTCAACACAGCCCCGCACTAGGGAAACCCTGTGTCGCGGGTGCCATGGACACACACATAGACAACCACAAATTACACCCAAACTCACGAGAGAAATAATTGTAGACCATACAAATATTTCTCCCAGCCCGAGAATCGAACCTGGGACCTCTGCGTGGCAGTCCGGCATGGTAACCGTTCGGTCACGGAGGCAGTTAATGGACACCACAAGGTCCTTCTTCCTGGTCCATATTTCATGAATTTGAGCAGTTGATTTTGTAGTGACCAAGGGGTCTTCAATATGGCGATTGCCGATATCTAGGTGACGACTAGATGCAGAAGTAAACATTACCGGTGCTGGCCCCGGATTACGTTGTACATTTCCAGCCGCTCTGTGGCGATTGATCCACAGCTTGACAGTGTTTCTCTGTAAACAAGCAATTTACAATACTGTATAATAGGCCCTCATAATTGTAGTTTCGAATTTAGCCTAATGTTAGATTTTAATGATACGTTGAACATGTTTTATAACACCCGTGGGATAATGAAGGATGCACTTGCAACACTGTGAAAAATATAATGAGTCTACTTACCGCTATATGAAGTCGCCTTGCAATTTCTTTGATTGGCACTTCTTGTTCGTACAGAACAATAATTTCAAATTTTAATAATTCCATTTAGTGCGGCATATTAAAACAAGAAAGAATACTTTGAAAGTAATTAAAACAGAATAGATAAGTGGGAATGAAACGTGGAACAATGCGTAATCACAGAAGACACGATCGTATGCAAACTGCGGAGCGATTTCGTGATTTGTTAATCCCTCCATAACCTTAGGCAATTTGTAGTGAGCAAAGATTGCGATTTGTCAACATTAACATTAAAAAGTGATATTTGTAGTGCTGTTAAAAATATAAAACAAAAATAGTGCTCGTGGCATCGAACCACGGGTATTGTAACTGGCAGTCCATACAACAAGCCGCTCGACTAATTTACTTGGATGTTAAATGACGAAATTTAGAATTGGTTTTAAAAATATGTTGATCATCTTCAAGCAACACTCCACTGTATTGTTTATGCAATAAAATTGAAATTGCTTTAATTTTTTCTTTGTTCAATACGTAAAATGACTCTCAGAACCAAAAGGTCGGTTTGGGCATATTAGGGAGTCAGGTATCTCATGTATGTATATGACTGTACATTTAACACGGTTTTGGAGGTATACCAATATTTGTTTTCTTATTTAAAAAAATTAAGAAGTGCCGTACATTGGGACTGTGTCAAAGATTGGTACATTTACCTTATAATAAACTACTAAAACAATAAAAACGTCACAAGAAATGGTCACAAGTTACAAATTAAATTTGCCAAGAATTATTAATTTGTGCGTGTAAATCTTTTAATTTTGTCAGTACGTTGTTGATGCTTCTCCATGGAGAAGCAGTAGGCAGCAACTATAAAGAAGCGCTTGGAATTCGCTCTGTAAATCCCGTAGTTGGTTCTTTAAGATACGATAGCAAACGGGGTACCCCGTACTGTCATTATTCGAATATTTCATTCTACGGTAAACGCCGTTACTGTGCACGAAAGGGCAGGGACACGGTATCGCATAAAAAGTATCGTACTCATAAAAGTATCGATATTTTTGTCCAGCAAATTTTTCCTACTTAAAGACAAAATAAAACACGTGAATTTGTCTTTTTTTTTTTATTGATTTATGATTTTTAATTGAAACAAATAGTAAAAGAATTTGATTAATTCGATCATTTTACAATCAATTGTCATTTCACATAATTTGTGCTACATAAATTTCTAAATTCCCACTCCTCCTCTGTACAATCACTTAAAAACAAAAATCTATTTGGTGACGGTCTGTTTCTCGTTTTTGATACCGTATTGTCTGCTTTTGAGAACAAACGTACTGAATAAGGGACAAACTTCTTTTAAAGAGGCAAATGGTGGCATACAATATACAGCCAAGTAATTTCTGATAAAGATTTTTAAAAAAACGCTAGGTGCTTGCGTTATGATTGAGGTGTCCTAAGTAGGAATTATTCGAAACGATACGATATTTATCCAAAAGTACTAATACACGTGCAACCATCCTCCCCGAAGCTGCCACCTCCGCTCTTACGTTTTGCATCGGACTGGTATTTACGCCAGTGGTTTCTTTCGTTACTGCACAGAGTTATCACAGTTTAGAACGAACTATTTAAGTATTTTTATTTTAGTACGAAAGTGAAATCTGACTGTTTATGATGTTAATAATATATTATCATATTAATCCTCTGAGACTGACAACAGTGTATTATTTATTGTGCATTATTAAGAGCGTTCATTGCAGGGAGTCGCGCAGATGGCCATCATTGCGTGCTGGTTGCTTTCTGGGATGATGTTGTCCGTCGCTTTTTGGATAAGTGATTACTGCGTGGATCCTGTACAGTCTTTAAATAATTATCGTGAAGAGACTAACATTATTCCAAAAGTATAATTATAGCTTATTTCCTTGACCGAGTCTAATGACACAGACGATAAAAGCGTAGTATAATAACACAAATTAATAGTAGTAGTAACTTCATACAAACGCAGCAACGCGGATTGCATGCACGCAAGCCCGCCCGCCGCGCAGCGCGTCGTATACAGATGCACACATTCGTATATTCTCGCGCTGCACCCATTTTGTGCACCGCAGTAGGGCTACGACAGAGCGCGACTTGCGCGACGGCTTAAAGTGCGAGATACTGCTTTCCTCGCAAGAGTTTACCGCTAGATGTCGCTCTTGCGTTAGTCGCGCCCTGCCGTGCTAGCCCTGCAGGTCGTCCCACGCGCCATTCGTTACAGAATTGAAGCGTTCGCTCAGTGATTAAAATATTTTTCTAAGTCAGATTTACATATATTTTTATATATAAATGTATCGTTCGTTACATACAATACAAGCACGCATTTTTGTTTCATGATCACACTCAAACAGTCGAAATGAAATACCAATCCGCGATTCTGATATAAAAATACGAATAATTACAGTATACACACATCAAAAAAAGTTTGCGATCAATAGCATAAGCTCCTATAATTCTTTAAATTTAACTTTATCAAGAAAAAATCTATGTTGTATGCTTTCTTTAAATAGGAATACCCTGTTTGAAATTAAAATATAAAACTATTTTTTATTATTTATTTTAAAAAATTGAGCCATTAATCATAATGTAATAGTGATAGAAATTTCATAGAAAGAAAAAGACTGTTTAATTAAACTTAAACAACAATTTATTATTAAAAGGTGTGAATTCAATATAAAATAACTCCTCCCCTGGCTCGAATACATGCGAAGATCCTCCTGGGCATGCTGAGGATCAAGTTATCCAGCATTTCCTGGGGTAACCTATCCCATTCTTCAATAGCGGCTTCCCTGAGCTCTGGAACTGTCTGGGGACGTGGCTCACGGTTCCATACTGCTCGTTTAAGAGCATCCCACGCGTGCTCTATTGGGTTTAAGTCGGGCGAGCCGGGAGGCCAGTCTAATCGTGTGATATCGTATTCTTGAAGAGCAGCATTGACTCGTTGAGGTCGATGTGCGGGCGCATTATCATCGACCAGTACAAATTGGTGCCCATGGTTTACTCGGAATGGTCTGACGATATCATCAATAGCAACTGCTTTGTACATGTCTGCTGTCATGAAGCCCCGATAAGGGATCAAAGGCGTTCTAGCTCCAATCATAATGCCACCCCAAAAGGACACCGATTTTCCGCCTTGCTGAACTGTTCCAGTGGCAGTTCTTTGTCTTTCACGGTCGCTTGGTCTTCTCCAGACACGGACACGTCGGTTATCTGGATGAGTGCTGATTCGGGATTCGTCAACGAAGAGACAGTTTTGCCAAATGTTTTCGTCCTCACCTTCTTCATTTTGCCGAAGTCTAGCCCACTGCAATCTTCGTTGTTGACGTTGCCGGGAATTGAGCGGAGCTCGCCAAGACCTCCGTGCTCGTAATCCAGCCTGGTGCAAGCAATTGCGAACGGTCTGCGTGCTAACTTCAAGCCCAGAGGCGGCCCTGACTTCTGCTTTTATTTTAGTGGCGTTGATTGTTGGATCACGGGCTGCCAGCAATCTAATATAGCGCTTTTGGGCAGCTGTCAAAACAGTTGGGCGACCGCTGCGGGGTCGGTCAGCTAAATTCCCCATTCCGTGATACCTCTGCAACGTAGCCACGACACAGGATTGGGATATAGCAAGTCTGCGTGCTATTACTCTCGTGGTGTATCCTTCTTCCCTCAAAGTTACTATTCTAGCTCGTAAAACCTCTGATAATCCTCTTGGCATTTTTTCAATCACAACTTTCCGCGAAAAATATCTTGAATCGCTTATAATTGACTAAATCAGATTTCTGAATGAGCGTAAGCTAGGACTGAAAGCCTTTTTATATGAAAAAACAATTGAACGGGGTCATTGTTTTATGTTCTAATTTATTTTTAAATAAAGAATCTAAAAAGAAGAAAAAATCATAATATAATCTACAGTAACAAAAAAGATTTCAGTTTTTCGAAGTGATCGCAAACTTTTTTTGATGTGTGTATAATAGAATACAATTATTTATTTCAGACCATTATCCATAGTAATGTTAGTAATAGAGTAAATTTTTCTTACGTGCTGTGGTTAGTACAATATAAAATTATTTAATGCTAGAGAAATGCCACGTCTAGACCACTACTCTATGCACGTGTAGTTGCACCTACTGTTGTTGGTAGGGGCAGTTCAGCCTGTTGGCAACAACGGCTAGGATGCTATTAGCGCTGCCGCGCACACGCATCATGAGTAAGGCCCTCTTACGAATAATGGCATGAAAACCCTCTGTTAACACTCTGTTGCACTGCAGCGTCGCGGCAGCCCCATTAGCAACCTGAAAGCGTTGTTATATTGTATCCTTAATGTATTCAAGGTTTTCTGCGTATACTTCACCCACAGGCTGCTCGTGTAAAAGTTTTGGCAATATGCTTTAAATAATGATATCTTTACATCTTTAGTGCAACGAGCAAACCTGCGGGCAACATATTACCTCACTATCATAGAGAAACAGCGGCGGCACAGCTCCAACAGAAGCTGAATGAATGAATGAAAGTGCCATCAATAGAGCAACCCACTTTGGCGCTGCTGAGTTCCCCGATCAATGTATTAATACAAGTTGAAAAGTTTCGACCCTGTAATATATTGGATATACTCCCGCCCATCTAACACTGTTAGTCTGATTTTCGTACCAGTAACGGAACAACCCAGCGACTTCATCTGGGAGATCCGTCTCACAGCGCAACATTTGCCTTAGCACGTCATAGGAGACAAGGTCTAAAGCCTTCGAGACGTCGAGGAAACACGCTTACACGAGTGTCCATCTTTATGTGCAGTACTGAACTGTATGCTTGAGGCATAATACCGCGCTCTCTGTGAATAGTCCAGGCCTGAACCCGTACTGTGCTGTGCGCCATGTAGGTCTAGGTGTTTCGTTAAAATGCGACCAAGCAAGCTCTCTAGTATTTTAGTTGTAATGGTGGCTAACGATATTGGCCTATTCCAGAAATCAGACACATCCGCCGTTTTGTTTTTCACAAGTGGAACCACGGAAGAAAGTATGTGATCTGTGAGTGGAACCATCAGTGTACACATAAGAAGATTTGCAGGCAAATAAGCATGTCTCATACACATACCAAACAAGAGTGCCAGTACCCGCGTTATATGGGCTTCCGTGTGCTGGAAATGCTCAATGCTCAGACCTTTGTGCCTCAGGGACTTAGCTCCATCTTAGCTCTCGACATACTTTTGATAACAGCTGTGACATCGGCCACCAGCATAGAGCACCTCCACCCCCGACGATCGCAGTAGAGGATCAACTTTAAAATGTTCCATAAACAAATCCACGATCTTATTGGGCTCGTCGACCCCGTTCACACCCACAGTGTGATGTGATGCAATTATGTCCATGTTATAAGTAGGTACAACTAAAATAGCAATGTATGTGGCAGATAACCTATACACAACTCAGACAACCCTACGTTCCGAGTGATGTAGGCATTGACGCCTCCCGCTGAACAGGCGGGAGTTAGACTACTTGTTTTACTTGTTTTATTATGCTACGCTAAAAATCTACACTAGCTATTAGTCAGAGTTCGGAATAGAGCGGATATTTCCTACCGGGAGGTACAAAATCTGGAATTATTGTATTGTATTTTGTTCTACATTTTATTTATGTGAATAGCTATTCTATTACTTTACTACGGCATACCGTAGTAAAGTAAATACAATAAATACGGTAAATACAATAGTATTTAGAAGAAAAAAATTGTAATTGTAAATAAATTTGTAACCATTTAGTTCCGATTTTTTGCCTTTCATTTGTTATCATTCTGGAATTCTCTCCCTCTGAGGGAGGTATTATCCACTCTATACATATATATATAATTAGTATAGTAATTGACATTTTCACGAGTGCACTCACAGGAGTGCCTGTGAGAACGTACACGCTAGGTTCGATGCGGTAAATGCGGGAATTCGTTATAGTTTCTATACTGCGCTACCTGTTTTTTGGCTATTAATGAGTTTGTATATTACACAATTTATATAAAAGTATATTATGCTTATAAAACTATACTTCCATTCCGTTTAGTGAATTTATTAAGCTGCTCATCAGAATACTTAATTTCGAATTTGTACATGTATATTACTTATATATACATAAACACAACATTTCTCATCTTATTATTCTGAAATTTGCTAAAATTTCATTGCCCTAACATCTATGGCAGGGTCAAGGTGGCGTCCAATTTTATTTTAGAAGTTCTTCCTGTCCTTATTCCACTCTAGGTGGGGTCGGCACGACATGTATTTTCCTTCTACTCACCCCTATCAGCCGTCATTTCCATACTCACACCTTTCTTACCCATGTCATCTTTCACAATCCATCCATCTTTTCTTTGGCCTTCCTTTCCTCTTACATCCCTTCCTCATTCATACCTAACACTCTTCTCGTCACATGGCATTCTTCCCTCCACATGACATGTTCATACCATGCTAACCTATTGCTCCACATCTTTTCCATCACTGGCGCCACTTACAAATTTCCCCTGATGTACTCATTCGTGATCATATCCTTTCTCGTCACTCCACGCATCCATCTCAACATGCCAATTTAATTTTTGAGGTTATATATAAAATTTTCGACTAAATGTAGAAGCTATAGGTTCTATTCACAGAGAGAAACTTACAGAAATGTTCACTTACGGCATCTTGTTAAGCAGGTAATGGGTACCCATCTACATGTTTGTTAACAGTTGTACCGGAACGAATCGACATTGAATATTTTATTAGAAGGTAGAGAAGAGCAGCGGGTGTATGGTAGATTTAGAGATAAAAGCTTCACCTATGAGTTCGCATCTAATGAAGTACTGAATGGCAGACAAGTGAACCTCACTGTGTACTACGTTGACATGGGTGTCAATGCCTTATTCAATACTGCTTTCTGTGAGTACCTCTTTTTTTAACGTATTATTTAAATCATACATTTTACATAAAAAGGAACTAACCTCAAACGTTCACTTATTCGCTTTCGCTGTGTTCTTTACCACGATCTCATCAACAATAACTGAAATGCTTATGGATGGTAGACCTCGTGAAAACGAATCATATGAGCATTGGGGCATCAGAGGACAAGGACATCAGAGACCTCTATGCGAGAATAGCAGGATCTCTGCTTTATGTCGCTCTAGCGCTTGTCGCTCCCTCTTATGCGAGCCCTTCTGGTCAGCTCTTTGTCACCATAATAAATATTATTTTCATTTGAATTATGTCTATGTTTTATTAAAATCTATCGAGTTTTTCGGTTTTCGCGATTGTTACACTTTATCATCTCCAGGCTTCCTTTTTTGCACGCCAGCTGAAACGGTCCCGTACTAGTCTCACAATTTTCCGGCCACTCTGACGATATTGTCTGACCATGTAGGAGGTCTGCCTCGAGGACATCTTGCGCCTACCGGGTACCACTCAGTGACCGCCTTGGTTCATCGGTCGTCGACAATTTTAGGCTCGCGATCCGCATACCGACATCTACGACTTAAGTTCGCTGTCGTGTCTCCACGTTGTGTATACGGTCGAGGGAAATGCCGAGCATTGCGCGCTCCATTGCGCTTTGAGCTACTCTGATTTTGTGCATGTATTGAATGAATTTGATTTTCGCTAAGTGTAAACGTACGTACTTATGAATAAACGTGACTGTTAAATCAAAATTCCCTTGTATTTTGCATTATTTTTTATTGATTTATGAAATATCCACAGGGTATTCTAGTTTAGGTTCTAGCCACCAGAAATTAAGGCGCGTCCCCGAACAAAACAGCTGCGCTAGCCGTTTTATGTACATTTTTAATAGCTATCTAATCGTTATTTAGAAAACATTTAATAATTAAAAATACATTATATTCCTTCCGAATGTTGACTTCATATTACCCGATGGATTTTTTTATTGAGTAAATGTTCATGAAATGACCCTATAAAGAGCCCACAGAAAGGAAAAAAAAATGAATTTATGCTTCTCCTCTTCACTTTGATTCGTTTGCGACTTACATTAATGGGTAGACAATTCAATGATAAACGTCTTGACAAGCATTTTCAATAGGTACGGTTTTTTACCTAATTTTGGTGACAATTTTTAATTTTGTGTTTTAAGTAAATATTATTTTAATTTTGTGTTTTAATAGTTTTTAATAGGCGTAATTGAAGCTTGTATATTCTATCTAGATGGGTTTTTGATGTCAAGCCGTAACTATGCAAGCCGTATCCAATGATTGATTCGCCGGGGGCCTTATATAAGTTGAGTAGGATAGTGTAAGGAGTTTTGTGCTTAATGATTGCAAATTTGGATAATATAACTTTAAGTTTGTCATATACCATGTATATATGTTCCGTCCATTTTAACCTATCATCAATTACAAGGCCTAAATAAGTCTGCTTACTAACTAGTTCGATATTTGCGCAATCATACGGGCGTCGTAGTATTCGCTATGTACTCGTAGGCAATCACGTTTATGAGCTGTGAGTTTTGTCTCTTGGTTCTTTCTGTTTTGGCTCGAGCTTATGAACATGAGATTGGTCTTGCTAACGTTTAGGATCAATCCCGCTTCGTGGGACCACTTGATCAGGTTAGTAAAATCAAACTGTAGTTTAGAGCTGTATTGATATCATGATGTGCTGCTACCAGGCAAGCATCAACAGCAAATTGAAATAATTGGCAAACATTGCACATTTTATTTAATATATTTTTATTTGATTGTTATGTTGGGTAAGTTATTAACATAAGAGAGGTAGTGGAGGGGGCCCGTACGGAGCCTTGGGCTGTTCCTTCATTAACCATCTTTTAGTCATTCTATGTTTCAGCCACTTTGACATAAAAAACACGGTCAGTTAAATAATCTTTACACTAGCCCAGCACTGGTCCCCTTACACCACAGTCCTCAACAACACCTCATGACGCAGGGTATCAAATGCCTTGCTATAATCAATGAACACTACGAACATGTGCATTTTATCATTGTGATAACCATATAAAAGATCAGTAAAAGCTGTCAAAAGCTGTGTTCTGTTTTTGTTTTTAGGTTGAAACCCGTACTGTGTTTTACTATTATTATCCACGTAAATATTTGTACTTAAATATACATTTTTCTACAATTTTATCAACGGTGGGGAGAATAGTTATGGGTCTGTAATTATCTTAGTCCGTTTACTACCCTTTTTGAAGATACGTCTGGCAATTCCAGTTTTAAGCTCTGACGGGTAAATATTTTTATCTATGCTAGAATTTATGGGTTTAGCAATTATTGATGTTATTTTGTGACTGATCTTTCTAATATGAATTACTCGTATGACATCTAGTCCAGGTGCTTTGTTAGTATTCAAACTCGTAATTATTTTTAAGACGTTATTTGTTTTCGCTTTTTGGAAATGCATAGATACACCAGCTGGCATCCTGTACTCTTTTTTGTCTAGTAGAGTCGTTTCACAGTTTGGTATATTTTGATGTTTTTGTTTATTATGATGCTTACAAAAAGACTAGAGGTACCGATTACGTAGTCCTATTTATGACCTGGCGCCCCTTGGCATGTGCTTCGCTTTATAAAGAATTGTCGTCCAAACTTTGCGATATCTCTCCCTTACACCATGCAGAAAAACTTGAACCAATATCAACATTTTATTATTGAAAATATTTATATTATTTCTTGATACGATTTTGTCAGTTGATTACTTGATACGATTATTAATTTCGTTAATGGTATGTTTGTTTTTAGCTTTAAAAATTAATTTATTAGCGTGATCGCGGGCCTGATAAATATGGAATAGTCCCTATATGCGCATGCTTTTAAAATTGTATTATTTATCCATTTACTGTTTATTTGCTTATTAATACTATTTTTAAGTTTTACTTTAATTTTCTATAACAACAACAACAACAACAACAACAACGACAACGACAACGACAGCGACAGCGACAGCGACAGCGACAACGACAACGACAACGACAACCCGCCGTTTCTTAAGTACACCCGATTCAACAAATTCCACAAAAAATCACCACTCACTCACATCGCCTCACAACACCACAACCGAACCAGAATACTTGGCTTAGGCCCGTACCTGGTTCCAAATATCCGACCATCAGTCGAGTACAAGAAAAATAATAATAATAATAATAATAATAATAATAATAATAGATCATTCTTATCGGACTTCATGTCGAAGTAGCATAGTGTAAAATCTTGTCGATGTAACATATTGTCGAAATAGCGTAGAGTCTGAGTAAAGTCAAGTCGATGTAACATATACCTAGTCGGAGTAGCGTGTGTCGAAGTTCAGTTGTAGAGTCGACTGATGTCATTATTTCGTAAATTTTTATTTTCTTTTGACATGCGCATTTTGTATAAAATTAATAAACTGTAAAATTTTGTTGACTTTGTTGTTTCCATTTCTTTTCTGCTTTCCATCTTGCAATCTTGATCTTACTACAATAATAGTATTTATCATGTACTGGTCATACAATATCCCTTTTAAAACAACTAGTTTATCTGGAAAACATTTTGGCTTACTCTAATGAATGACGGCATAGACATTATATTATGTACAAAGTTATCTATCATAGGCTAATTTTAGAGATAGGTGAGCACTAGCAGTGAAAGTTATCTAATACATTTCATATATTAAGTATATTTAAATTGATGAAAAATTAGCATTATCTTGAAATCTGAACCTCTTATTAAAATTCTCATAAAACAATAATTTCGACTTTAATCTTTAATTTGTGACCCACCTTACGAGTTAAAAAACTATTTTCGATGTTATTAGAAATCGGAATCCTATAAATAAGCTCCGCCCACGTCTCCCGTATGATCAGTCGCTTGCTGCTGATTGCGTCATTCGCTAGATGACGTGAGAAAAGTTTTACGAAAGATTGTAGAGGTGTAGTGCGGTGAGAGGGGCTCAAATGCTCAAGGTCATTTGTTTGGGAAAACGCCTTAAGTTGTACACATCATGTGGTCCATTGTTTAGCTGCTACAATTTTGTGGAGGAAATAAAGAACTTAATTATTTAAAAAAATAGGATAATAACCTGCTTAAAATCTGTTTTGCAAACATGCTATTTTCAGCAATCCTACCCGACGAATACGCGACTTCTATGAGAGAATTCGAAGCCGATTACGAATCCCACAAAAACATGACCTACTACATGGGAGATTTAAAATTACCTCATTGGTTCTTATCAACCACTACGACTGCCTGTTTCTACGGAGTGGAGGTAGGTACCTTACTGATAATTCTATTATCATCCCCAAAAAGTTGTACGACCTAAGGGGAATATGTAATTAAAGTTTTTGTGTGGCATCATAGATATCTGGAATATTTTTGTTTCAGATAATTATGCAATGTGTTGATTTGCATTCTCGCCATATTTCAGAAATTAATAATAGAAGTAATGCTAAATCATCTACAAATATATTTAAAAAAAATTCTGTTCAATATTCAGGCTAATTGTACCTAATAAAGTTTTGCAAAATTGTTCCTAAATCGTATGCACCGCGTCTGGCAATTACGGTTTTCACCTGTTCTTTGAATGACAGCTTCCTATCGAGCGTAATTCTTAGGTATTTTACTGTGTTCTCCAAAGGGACTGGAGGGCCGAAGAGCGAAATCGGGGTTAGGTTTTGTACCTACGACTGGACAGGTTACTACTCGTGAAGAATACCGCCGCGCTTTTGTAGGGATTGACTCGCCTGGACGTGTGGTGGCAGATTGGAGAGTCGCGGAAACTAATTTGGAACTGCGCGCCGAATAATAAAGCGCAGTGCTATTAGCAAAGAGTGCGAAATTTGCATACTGATACTTCGGAATATAGGTAGTGTACAGGGAGAATAGGAGAGGCGAGAGGACGGAGCCTTGCGGGACTGCGGCTCGTTAGGGGACGACATTGCGCCTTCGACACGATAGCGGAAAGAGAGATTCGGCAAGAAGTCTCGAATGATGTTCACAAGACGGTGAAAGAGACGGTGACAGTACAAGCTGTAAAGTAAGCCGTTGTGCCAGACTTTGTGGAAGGCCTTAGCTACATCGAAGAAGAGGGATGCTTGAAGCGGGGGCGATCGAGACGTTCGGAGATATGCTCCACTATCCGGTGCACTTGCTGAGCGCATGAGTGCCTAGCTCTAAAACCAAACTGTTCGTCGGGGAGGAGATTGTGGGACATGACGTAGTTTGCCCATGGTGTTAAGCACGGACAGTGACCGGACGGCTCAGAGAGAAGTTTCCCAGGCTTGTGAATACCGATGACCACCGCCTCTTTCCACTTTTGCGGACAGATGCAGTTGGTCAGAGCGGCGTTAAAAATTGTAGTCCGGAGACAGATGAGGAGCGCCGAAAGTTGTTCATGTACCTTGTTGGAGATACCGTCAGGGCCGGAGGCTTTGCGAGACTTAAGGTCCTTTGTGAGCGATTCTACTTCCTTCGGGATGACCGGGAGGAGAGGAGGAGAGGAGGGCGTGAGAGTTGCTTTGAGTTCGACCTCGGAGTTCGCCTGGAAGAGGCCTGGTCTACCGGTTCTAAGCTGGAGGAGCAGTGTGCTTCGAGGCAGTCGGCCAGGCAATCGGCCTTTTCCTCGTCGTCAAATGAAACACAGATAGATGAGATGAAACACAGAGAGTAGAGTGTTGCAATTCTTTGCCGTACACATCAGAAAGGAGGAAGCAAAGCGTTTAGTGCGAATGGGTGGTACATCAACGACATAAGGATGGAGTGTTCCGGACCTTCTAGTCGACCGAAGGACGTACGGTGAGGGTGGAACCAAATTGAAAAGTGTGTGTGCAATTAATTTTATGTTGTAACTGTATTAAAAAACAAGTGCACAACAAGATTGAAACTTTTAAACTCTATGGCTGTAGAGCCAACTAACTTTATCTCTGTCTTTGTGTAGTATTTGTTGGGTGTGATATTAGTGTTACTGTTAAGTATCGTCTTGTATATGTAATTAAAGCTAGCTGGCTATACATTAAATGGTAACGGAAAGCTGTAACCTATCACAAACAACCCTACGTTCCTACCTAACCTTTTTTTTTTGACTGGAGGGAAATCTTTATGGATACCCCTGAGCCCAGGGAGACTCAGGGGTTATGTGGGGACTGTCCCTCTCGCCCAGGTTTCCCTCTCGCCGGTTAAGTCGGCGCCGTGAGATCAGTGAACATTCACCACGACGCCGCCAGGCCGCCCTAGCTTACGGCAGGGCTCCCGCGCCAACGGAGGGGCGAGTCGGTTGTCCTCCGACCCGTCCCCGGTCCCTGTCCAGAGCCCGCTGGTCTCACTAGGGGATCAGGCAAGCAGCGAACTGCCTTCGCCTTCTCCCCGTACGTCTGCGCCGGAGCGGGTGCGCGTCCGCCGCATCCTCGCGCACCCGCTCCGCGGCCTCCTTTTGCGTCATAACCTCTGCGCAAAAGGAGGCCACCGCCTCCCAGGACTCCTCGCTATCGAGCATGGCGGCAACCACGCTCGGCAGCGAGAGGTCCTGCCCTACAGTCCCCGTCAGAGTGCGGCGCTGCCCATCCCACCGGCTGCACACCTCTAGGGTGTGCTGCGCGGTGTCACCCGCAGCGCCCCACTCGTGGCACAACGGGGACGGTTCCCTCCTCGCCACCTTGTGCAGGTAGTGACCGAAGCAGCCGTGCCCGGTCAGCACCTGCACAAGGTGGTACGACAGTGGCCCGTGGGACCGGTTTACCCACTCTACGAGGACAGGGCGGATCGCCTCTATGGTACGAGCGCCATAGGGGGGATCCGCCAAGCCCTCTTTCCGCCGGTCCCGCATGCGTTGCGCCGCGAGGCGGCGCTCCCGCTCCACCTCTTGGGGAGCGGGTCGCTCGCCTCAGTCCCTCACTCCCCGCCGGTAAGTGCGGACCTCCGCCAGCTTCGAGCGGCTTCGAGGTCCCACGGCGGAGTACCGGCGAGGACGCATGCGGCAGCGCAGGCCACCGTCATGTACACCCTGTACAATCGCAGGGCGACCACCCTCTGGGGCCTCCTCAGCAGCGACTTCGTCGCCGCTGATAAGGCCCCACTCCAAATGGGAGCCCCGTATAAGGCCATACTCCGGGTCACCCCGGCGTATAGCCTTCTGCATGGGGCTCCCGGCCTCCCGAGGTTGGGCAGGAGCCTGCCCAACGCCGATGCGGCGCCCACTATTCGAGGAGCCAGTTGCCGGAAATGCTCCCCGAAGTTCCATCGACGGTCCAGGACAAGTCCCAGATATTTCATCTATGACTTGACCGGGACCGATACTCCCGCGATGGAGATGTGGGCGCCTGCCGGCACCGCCCAACCTCTACCCCTCCCGCCGAAGACGGCCACATCCGTCTTCGGCACGGCGACCTCGAGCCCCAGCAGTTGTATTCGGCGGACCACCATGTCCGCCGCTACTGAAGCTCTTCTGGCCGCCTCCTGGAAGGTGGTCCCCCAGACGGCCACCAGCGTGTCATCGGCGTACGCGATGACCGCCGTCCGGGGGAGCAGCGCGCCCCTCAGCACCCAATCGTACCCCAGGTTCCACATTAGTGGTCCTAATACCGACCCTTGGGGTACTCCGCACCTCATTGGGCGCTCGGCGCGCCTCCCTTCCCTCGTCTGGTAGAGCACCACCCTGTCCTCCAGGTAGTGCTCCACCAGACCTACCTAACAACCTAGCCCTGACCATACACTAGTATATATATATACGTATGTAGATAGGTAGAGGAAGCCTGTTACCATGCGACCTAAGGTAACAGACGTAAGGTGGGAAGGATGAGGGGTGCAAGGAAAGTATTTTCTCACTGCCAGTCTCACAGACTCACAAGACTGATCAGATAATCTGCTAAAAACGGCTAAAGGTGTCTAGGCCGCAGTGACAGGATGCTGTAGTCAGGAGAGTTCCGTCGTCGTTAATGAGACAGCGTTGATGTCTGGATTCAAAGAGACCTTTATTTTTTTAAACTAGATTATTTATACAAATTCTATGCATTTTTCATAAAATAATTCAGCATTAAAATTATAAGGCATGAAAAATATTGCGTTCCATGTATCAAATTCTATTGCAGTGCCTCGAAAACCTGCCTTAGGGTGTTAAGAACCGTTTACACAGGGCCAATCGACGAGCCATTCCATTAAGCCAAGCCATTATTGGCGTCATGTAAATAGAGGACAATACATTGTGGAATATTTCCAGACCAGTGATACCCATTTCCCCACCACAAGTGCATTCAATTGGCCTTATGTGAATGTGCATCCTGAGCCACTTCACTAGTTTGCCTTACCGTTTAATAAAGTAACTTATTATAATACCGGCTGTAGTATAATGGACGTTCCCGAATTTCGCACTTTTCACTAGACTGGCTTAATGTCTTGACTTTGTGAAAGGGCTCGTCAAATGGCCCTGTGTACCTAAATGGGCCATGAAGCTCGTATAAGCCCTTTGAAGATATTAAAACGTTCCCCTGTAAAATTGTGAATTTGGGCTTACGACTCTTTACGTAGAGGACTTGTATGTATATCATAATATAAAATAATCTAGGCCTTAAAATTAATGCAACCTACTTTTAATATTTCATTTTATCATTTGTTTTAGGCTATTTTTTTTTTTATTTATATTTATAGTTTTTTCAGAGTGCAAAACATAATTTCGTAATGACGGCGGTGCTCGCGCTGTTGGTCACCCTCTTGGTAATTCTAGTTTGTCGTTACAGGTAAGTTTAACTAAACGGGCAGAAATGGCCCTTAAAGTCTGCGTAGTTTGTACCTATTAAATTTTATTGTCAATAAAATAAAGGACTCTTTTGAAATAGAAGAAATACTCGCAGATACGTTTTTCAAGTCTTTATTTATAAACCTGTAATATGCGAACACTTTATTATGGTACTAGAGCATAGTTTTCCAAAGTGGTCCGTCCCGTCCCCCAAGAGTCCTAGGAATGCGGTGGGGGCCCCGAAAGCAATGATTTTTTTTTCAAATGCGGTAGCTCCCCTGGATATCTATTTCTATTTCCCTAGGACCCTTCAGCGCCCACTGAGGGGCGGTAGGGATCACTTTGGGAAACTATGTATTATACATTGATTCAATAGCGCGTTTGCATCGATACAGCCGCACGTTTTTAATGATTCAACATACGCGACTGCATCGATGCAAACGCGCGTTTTCTGCTAAAAGTTGTGGGTATGTAACCGCCCTAAGGTTCGTATCTGATGAGCGACTACAATACATAATAATACGTACCTACCTAAGTAACCGCCATCTTCTGTGAAACTCGATTAGCTCCGGAAAGTGGACTGAAGTAAATAGCTCGTGTAATGGACAATTACGTTCTTGATTTTGTTTTCAGGCGTGTAAAGAAGATCTTTAAAGTATGTATGCCTATTAAACAAAAAATTTCGTAAGTATCGTGCGATATGTATTTTTTATTACTAGAGTTGCAACGAATATTCGACGACGATTGGATATTCGACTTGTTTTCTGCTGTTCGGCCGAATATCATGTAATTATTGAACTACTTTTCGGCCGAACACCGAATACCTAAAACAGGAGAACATATTTTAATATATTAAATATATGTATAGTATATTAAATGAAAAGTAATTGTTATGTCATTTAATGACAAAATAAACGCTGAGAAATCAACCAAGTACTTATTACATTTGTAAACCAAAATAAAATTAAGTTTTTGAAAGTTAATCAAACAGTGAAGTAATAAACAATTACTTTCTTCATTAAGTCATACATTTTAAGTATAAACTTAAAAATACCTTTTTTTATTTCGTTGTATTAAATTATTGATTATTACCGAAGTTAATACGTGGTATTTTGGGCCAATTTTCGTACGAGCATTATCAGGCCGAATAGTTTGGCTGAATATTCGGCTAAATAGCCACTATTCAACAGTATCCGGGCAGAGGCCGACTATAATACTATTATTTGCAAAAGTAATTGGTGATTTCAGTTAAGCTGGTATTTTTAAATACTTTTTAAATTATGGAAACGATCACTTTTCCGTAATTCGAATTTGCACCTTGTGTGAACAACACTTTTAATAAGGAATTGTATGTATAAATGCGTGGAAGAATTCTTAGCAAGCTGTCGCCTGCATCGCAATAAATTTCGTAAGAATCTTACTTAACAATCTGCATTTGTTCACAGACCTAATTGTAAGAAATATGATGTTTCACGGCTTCGACTGAGGTTAGTACGAAGGCGTTGTTTTCTAATAAACTTACTACTACAGATGGCGCGGGTGCTGTAAAGTACTTACCTTCCCATAGCCTTTGCTACGGTTGCTTGTGATATAGTAGCATATGATACGGTGGCCTGTGATACGACGGATTACAACGCGCCAGCTCTCTCCAACGGGCTGTGCGAAGTGTATCTACTTAGGGACATATCGCACATATCTCTGACTCGAGTCGACGAGTCGCGGCATTCAGATTGGCCCAGCGCTTCACAGCGAAATCACAGGCCGAGATAACTCTGCCTAAAACTACAACGCTTTATTTTAAAGTACACTAAGAGACGGATTCTATACATCTATAATTATATATTTTCATTTGTAAAAATTGGGGATTTACTTTTCACATTACTTATACTGGTGATCGAATTTGTGCAGAAAGTGCCTGGGTAGGTACGAGTAGGTACCGCCGTTATACCTATTGATGATACTGTAGTGTAGTGTGAGCAGCACTGTACGGGATTGATGGGTAGATCTTTCCACAGGCAAGTTAGGCAAATGTAGTACGACACTAATATGACTGACTTTTGTTCGGATCAATGAGGCTTTGTATTATACGGACGATGAGCTTTTCTAAAACAATGCGAGGAAATAATAAATTACTGAAGAAGGAGAATGTGTAATAGAAAAAGCAAAACAAATTTACTTTTTGTTTTAAATTAGGCGGAGTACCTACACTTATAGTCACTATTGTATATTCGCTCTTCTCACTACTCTCAACTCATTTTCGCGAAGAAAATAAAAAGAAACAAAAATAAACGCCTAAGTATTTTCATTTATTTTACCGCCATTTTTTTAAATAGGTAGGCACCTATATGGTGCGAACACATTCGTGTACCTACCTTAATTAAAAGCAATAGTATATTTTTTATTGAGGGACTAAAACGAGCCAATATAGGTAGGGGGAAGCGGGGCAGTTTGACACAGGGGGTACATTCACACACCTGCATTATCTCCATAACTTCAAACATGATATTAGTTGTGATAATACCTTTGTACGTATGAGCAATAGACATGCGATGATGCAGCTCACCAGTTAACCATTTTCGTTCAACAGGTCACAAAGTGTTTTCACAGCCGTTAACCAAAAAAATAAGCGACATTAATACGAGTGCCACTGCAGTTTTGTTCAACTTACAGGGTTTTGAGTTTTAAAACAGGATAAACTAGTGTTTTCAATAACTAGAATTGAATGTGACTGAGTGAATATATAATGATTAAAAAAAATCTTTTCCAAACTGGCCGCTGGGGTACTTTTATACACCAGTGAGTGGGGCAGTTTGGTACGTATCAAAGTACTAGGAATTATAGTGCGCGCGGAACTAGCTGGCCGCGCCTTAGGTAGGGACAGGGGTGAGGGGGCGGGTTGCTTGCTGCTCGCAACGCACATGAGATTAGACAGTGACGACCAATCTCGAGATATCGTGAACAATAATTGTTCAGTTATTGAAAAGAAAAAATTAAAGCCAATTGAACTTTTACAAGTTTATATTATACCTATCTAATTAATTGCAATGTACAGTCGGCAGCACATCAGGCCGCCACAAACTGTCAGATTTCCTCAATTGATTTTCAACTTAAAGTCCAGGGAATAGAGTATAAAATTGATTGGATAAATTTGACATTTATGTATTGATGGACTTGCTGTTGTCCGTACATTGCAATTAAAAGTAAAATAAACCAAAAACAAATTAAATGAAATTCTTCCGACATATTTGAATCATTTATGAAATTATTATTAATTAATTAGTGTAACTAACACGACTTTGTATTTATAGATATGAAATTACTCTGACATATTATCCTCTGAATCACTTGATTCTGAATTGTCTGAACTTGAGTCAGAATCATCTTGTAAGTTTATAATGAATTCGTCCATCACAGTATCATATCTCATATCATGATTCCAGTATTCTTGTTCGTTTTTTTTGTACGTGGTCGTCGCATTTTTGCCATTGTTCGGCAGAAAATTCAGAAAATAGTCTTGTTAGTATTGTAATTTTCTCGTCCAATGTAGCATTAATGTGATCTCTGGCCAGGCAATTTTTTATATTTGCCCACACAAGCTCGATTGGGTTGAGATCTGGATGATATGGAGGTAGTCTTAGAACAGTATGACCTACACCTTTCAGAAGTTCATCAATCGTGTATATTTTTTCTGATTGGGTCGTATTAATCAAGCCCAAGAGTTCAGCTTTGACCATCGTGGGAGAAAAGGGCACGTTATGATTTTGCAACCAATTCTGCATATTAATTTTCATACAGGACATAGTCGGTTTCTTCTCAACTTGCACACAGTGGTAAGCTGCATTGTCCATAACTATGACTGAGTTAGGTGGAAGTTTAGGTATTAACTTTCGATCAACCCAGTTGTAAAAATTTGTAGAGTTCATGTCTCCATGATAGTCTCCTGTTTTTGAATCTGATTTAAAAATTAGCAGAGCATCGTCAACTAACCCGTTCCGACTACCAGCGTGAACTATTATTAAACGCCTTCCTTTGCCTATATCTGCATAAACACCAGGTTCCGACGAAGATTGCCAACATTTTTGGACATTATGACTTTGGTTAACGTAAGTTTCGTCCAGAAAGAATATATTTCGTTTGTCTTCTCTGAATTTTCTTATGGCCCTCAAATATTTCACTCGCCATTCAACAATGTTTGGTCTCTCTAATAAAAGGGATCTCTTCGATTTACATTTTTTAAATGAATATCCCAGTTTGTGCAAAAGTTCTCTTAAATAAGTTAATCCGCAATCTAAAATATTATCCTCTTTTAACACAGCATTTAGTTTTCGTAGACTTGGATTTGTTTTCTGTACCGTATAAAACTGATTTATTTTTCTTCTTATCACTCCTAAATCAAAATCATCAACTTGTATTTTCTTTTTTATCTCTTTTGGCCTTCGTGGAGAACTAAATTTTGCTTCCCCTGTATTTTGCAAGGATGTTTTACTTTGAGCAATTACTCTCCTTACACTTCGTTCTGATATCCCGGTTGCTTGTGCCACTAATTTATGAATATTCGCATCAGTTTTATATTCTAAACTATTGACATCGGCTTTCCGTTTTTTAAAAAACGTATGCACTTTAAATATTATTTCCTTAGATTGTCTTTTTATCGGCGGACTCATCTTGACATTGCAATCTCTTGTGCGTTTTGTCTAAACTAGCCAGAACTGTCAACGTGTGTTGCCGCCGCGAAGTCCGGCGCCGAACTGAGTATTCTGAGTAATGACATCAAGTGCCCCCGCCTCCCCGTCCCACCGCTCACATACCTAAGGCGCGGCCAGCTAGTTCCGCGCGCACTATAGTTATTTTGTACGAAAAATATAAAACTGTTTCAACAAGTCACTGTAAAGAGGTGAACTAGTGACATTTAGCGCTATAGTCAGCTCTTCCTCCTGTATTTCTACTTCCAAGACACTCTACAAAGAACTCTTTTGAAATGGTGCCCTAGAAAGAAGTCTTGATAGATCAAGTGCGGAGGCACATATAGCGTCATACTTTATGAACAGTTGATCACCTAGTGCTGATAATACGTGGCAACCAGAAATGACATACTACGTTGATTCACATTCTAAGTACCCCAAGCGATCTATCAAAGTACCCCACAGGTGGGGCAGAATTGGATAATTCCCATTTTTTGTTAAAATCAAAATTTTTCTATTGTTCAACGTTATTTATGAAAGAAAAGATTCAATTAGTAATGTTTATTAGTTATATCATCAATAAGGTTAAAAAAATATTCATTATAATTTCATTTAGTAGCCCAAAATCAAAGTTAAAAAAAGTGTACGAATCTGCCCCGCTTCCCCCTACTATTAAGCAAGGGTGTCTATTATTCCTATATATATTTTCGCTCTAACACAAAATTATGTACCAAAATTCTCAAGTGTTCGCGGGAAAATAATATGGCGCCACCGTCTATGCGGAAAAGGCACGGAACTAAAACCGAGTTAGAGTTTGTTCACTCGCGGTAAATGAAAAAATTAGGTTTTTGTTACTCCTTATGGAATAGACTTTCACTATATTGACGTACTTTTAGAGCATAAGAAGTGAAAAATAAGTAATACCACAGACAATATTTTTTTTAATTCTCGCGATTACGGGCTCTGATGTCTTTCTAAGGCTGAAGCTACAAGTTGGCTGTATGACAGTTTTTCTTTAGTCTGTTTCAGTGATCTTTTGGTTTGCTTCAGTTTGTTTACTATATAATAAATTATTATATAGTAAGCAAAGCTTTTATTATATAGCAAAGCAAAGATATTATTATTATTAATAATAATATATTTAAAAGTGTAGAGCAGTATTGTAGTATTGGATTTTCTTAGAATAAAAACGCATAGAATGATAGTTTCATATCAAACGAACTGTCACAAGTGAGGCAAAAATCAAATTCATGTAGACTAGTTTTAGTAGTAGGTTAATTTTCGGTTTTAGTGAATATTTATAAAAAAATACAAGTTGAAACGCGTTACTTCCTTGTGGAATGTGATGTTAGTATCTACTTTATGTTTGTCTGACGTATTTTTACACTCATTTACCGCACATTTCGTCATTTTTAGCTAAAATTCTTGATCTGTTCGCGGTGCAAGTTGACCTTGAGCACTCAAGGCCCGCCCGCTCGTGTAGGCCCTTTTGGCGCGCTGCAATTTGCCTCACTTAGCGTGTGCGGACTAGGTTTCTATGCGTTATTATTCTAAGTGGATTTTCATATTTATTTGGTAAAGAGTTGCACGCTCCATAAATGACAAACTTTGTGGATTCTATTTTTAAAGCAATGCAAACATTTCCGAGGCTGCTTAAGAAGTAATACTTAACATCTGAAATGCGAAAGCGTGTAGGTAGTATGGGTGCATCGAGTATATAACCAGAAATAGAGGCGAAATGTCATTTAATTTGTTTGAAAACTATTATGCCATATCATTACTATGACAACTGCGCTCCGATTGGCTAACATTTGACGGGTGTCGTCAATGAGTGTCGTCAACTGTTTCACTTCAAATCGACCATTTAACTTGAGCTTTGCTACAATGGACGAAAATTGCAAAATTACATATTTAATAATTAATTATCGATGAAATTTGTTCCTTTTGTTTTGTAATTAGATGTTTTGCTGTTTTTCCCACACCACCGAAAAGAAAAACACGGCATTATTAGAGATATTTTCTTTATTACAATAAATACGGAATATTTTTTGGAAAATGCAGTAGGTGACCTGTCTATATTTCAGTGCAAACGAGAGTTGATATTTATAAGAGCTGTATCGCTAATGTGTTACCAGGAATATATTGCCCTTATTTCGTCTCTATTTCTGGTTATATACTCGATGTATGGGTGTGATCTTGTAGACTAAACAGTGACATAATATTGTTATGAATTCGATAGTATGTGGTAATACGCAGGCCACACTGAAGGTTTTGCACTCCTGGCGACTCATTAATATTCGAAATTCAAATGTTATGTTTGAAAAAAATATAGAATTCTATCTATCGAATGCAATATTTTTGGCGGGAAATTGCTTGCCATTTTTTAAATTTCACCAGTTGACTGAAAATGAATTTATCTTTTTTTTTTTTCTTATATTTTGGCACTATGGCGTCCAGCCTTTGGCCATATGCAATTTCCACTGAGTTGCACATTTTTGATAATTCTTCCAAATAAATATTTTCTTGCTTCTTGAGATTTTAGGATAATTATTATTGTCGTTGCAGTTGTTGTTGTGGAACTTTGGTTGGGTTTATGGATATTAATATGAAATCGCGGAATAAAAATAAAAGCCAACGGAATTTTGGAAAGGTGATCAACAGGATAGGATAGGTAGTATATTTATAGGTAAATCTAACCAATGAAGGATGGAAAATGAATTTATCGCGTATAGATTTGGAGCTGTGATTTTTTTATGACTAACATTTTATTTATGAGTTTTACAAAACTTTCAGTACGGCCCTGGTACTAACAATAAAGGCTATATCCACACATATCCGGGCCGTGCCCGGGACAAAAACATCGTTGCATATATTTTGTAAGAACTCATTCACACATGTCCGTGTCCGGGCCGGGCGGCGCCAGGACGGGCCCGCAGTTCATACGAACTAGCACGCCCCGTCCACGTCCCGGGCACGGCCCTGAAGTGTGTGGATAGTCCTTAACTGTGCGACATATTTCATTTTGTCATTCATGATAAACAAATATAGCAAGAGCAAATTAAAGACGCGATTGTTTTTAACTCATTGTTATAATATGTGCTTTTTGTTACGTCCTATAAAGTATTGAAATAAATAAAGCTAAATTAATTATTTCAGAAGCAAATCAGCACTTATCTTGTCGAGGCCTGGTGTACATTTTATGCCTCACAAGAGGCATATTTTATTCGATAAGTTTAAAGCTTACAGCATTGAAGGAGATGGCAGTTCTATGGCGTGCAGGTGACTACCACAGTGACCAGTAATCTGTAAAATTAGTGATATCGCTAGATATGATGCTGCGATAGACTACTGTGTCAAACCATCACACCAACTTGTAAGTCAATGACACCAACACACAAAATGCTGCAAAAAGGACGGACTATGACCTAAACTCTTGCTTGAGAGGCGACCATGCCCAGTGGGACGTATAAAATGCGTTGGTGATGGTGGTAGTGATGATGCTGCAAATAGGATTTTTCGGAACTTACTTTTTATTTATGAATTCCATGTAGATCACAGAAATCTTTTGTCAATAAGCTATGTCTATTGAAAAACGAATAAATTTGTTTTGTCTTGATAAAATAGCCGGAATATTCCTGTTGTTATGAAATTACAAAACATTATACCGGAACTTGCAGTTTTGGTTTGACCAGTACTCATGGTAAAAATGTCTGGTCATGTTGGCTAACACGTTCAACTATCAATGCCATCCTGTAGTCGATATACTGCGATTTTACGTCAAAAATGTCGAAAGCAACGAGTTATCGTTTTGGTTGAAAGTTTCTGATGTTAAAATTTCAAAATGATCGTGAAGATTTTACTTACTCCAATAATAACTTTGTTTCTAATATCATTCTAATAAATTTTTATGTATGTGTGTTGGTAACGAAATCAAGAAAGGCGATTATCACACAGCACCGTACCCGCGGAATCATGCGCGCGGTGGCGGAGACGTAGATCTGCGTCAACGCGCGATTTAATCTGCGCGGGGGCAGCGGTCTAGCGGCTCCGCGTCACTTAAAGTACTCTCTTCGCAGTTGATCGCCGTAGTGATTGTATATGTAGCCGAGATCCTTCTTTGACAAGAATGGTTAATATTACAGAACTCATTCAGGACGCTGCAGTTATATTGTCTACTTAGTTTTTGTTTACTCAAATAAAAAGACTCCGAAGATATTGGATACATCCCTATTTATGAGCTTACTTTCTTACTTTTTATGAAGTGTGATAATCGTCTTAAAACCCTGGCACCGTTGGTGTTTCCAGAATTTGTAGAGACATTTATTATTTTTTCTTTCTTTAAAAATTATTTGTTTCGTTTTCAGAAAAGAAGTAATCTGGCGAATGAATTGTAACTTTAAATTCAATATGGGTATAAAGCGGGCAGAAAAAAATTTACAGTCTTCTAAACATTGAAAATTATACCTATTATTGTTCACATTGGGTTTTATTTGCATTTTAGTAGAAAAGTGATAGTGACAGTGTATTGACTCGTTGTGTCCTTTTTTTTCCATCCTCTAAGGTTGTGTCTCACTGCCACTGCTGGCGTGGTGCCGCGTAGCTAATGCCAGGTCTTTTAGAACAGAGTCGTTCTCAGAGGATTTTTACTATACCTAAGTTTTTGTAATGTAATGTAATAAAAAATACGCGGCCTGTAATAAATAAAATTTTGCGACTAGAACCGACTAATTTTGGGTAAATCAGGGGGTCTACTCTCGACCTTCGTCCGAAACAATTACTACCAAATAAGTAATACTTGACCAAATGAAAAGACGCGTGGTACGAATGAAGCTTCATACTTGATACTTGTCTTTTAATTTTGTCAAATTTTACTTATTTGACAGTAATTTATGTATATGTTTCGGACGGATGTCGGACGGAGATCGAGAGTAGACCCCCTGGTCTTAGCTAGGAGCTGTGGTGTTCTCGAGATTGAAAAATGATGTCACGGAATAAGCTTATTCCAAAGAGGATAGTAAACATCCTTATAAGTTTAAAACGGCGTAACGACTATATTTAGGTTTTTGCGTGTTGAATCTACTAAATGGCGACTTTTTATCTGACTAGTCAAATTAAAAACTCCAGCATTGTCATGTTGCAATAAGTGACGCTGGTTGATGTTAATCAAAATGGAGGCCTTCCTATTTCATGGCTCGCGCAGAGGTTCCCCCAGAGGCGACGGTCACCCTGTTCGGGGAGAGGGTCTCAGTCAAGGCTTAATGAAATACCTACCTGGACCTTGTACTGAATGGGAGGTAGACCTTCAAGGCGCATTTCACCCAACTTGCCCCAAAGCCGATGGGTATCGCTTCCACCCTCGACACGCGCCTGTACCTACTCCATAATAATCTGAAGTATGGCCCTCTACAGCTCACCGGCTAGGGTCCCTCAGCGGCACTCCCTGACTTGCAACAGTGTGAGGAGATCTCTCGCTGTCAACTATCGTGGACGCAATGTTCGGCAGCGAGAGGTGCTGAGAGCGTATGGTTTCCTTTTGCGAGAGCGTAGTCTCGCAGCGCCTTAGAGAGGACGACCTCCTCGCTGACGCGCTTCGTAAACGGCGGCAGGGGAGACGATCACCTTCTCCCGCCGTAGACTGGGGTCGGGAAACCCTTTACCACGTTTGAGGGTGTCCTAATATCTACGCCGGGGAACTGACCAAAGGCCTGCACCCGCTCACTGAGGGCCATCCGCTGAGACGATCTAGTAGTTCGCATAAGCGGATCCTGAGGTGCCTTTCTATGGTGGTGGAGTTGAATTCTGGGTCTTAGGGGGTATATGGGACTACACAGGAGTCCCACACAATCGCTCGCTGGTCCTCCGTGCCGAGAGGTATGCGTAACGTATTTTCCAGCTATAAAAAAAGACACCAATGGGACACCATTCTTGAATATACACTGGCACTGAGTGTATATTCAAGAATTGCTATATTTTCTAAATAATTCCTACCTTTGATATATTCTGAGAATTAAAAAAAAATTATTGACCAGCCATTCTGATATCAGGATGGCTGGTCGCCACATTGTGAAAGTAACAAATAGGTAGCAATTATTGGTAATACATACTTCTGGAAAATCTGTTCCCTTCATGTTGTACGAATTGGCGACCAGCCATCCAGACATCAAAATGGCTGGTCAATTATTTGTTTCAATTTCTCGGAATATATCAAAGGCAGCAATTATTTATAAAAATTATCAAATAGTATCAAATAGGTAGCAATTCTTGAATATACTCTCAGTGCCAGACGCCACAGACGACTAGCCATCCTGACGGTCACGCAAATTATGCTTTCTATTAGTAATGACTGTATCTTGACCAGTAATAATTGATCAAGATACCTGCATATTACTAATACCGTTGAACCGTTACCGTTTCCTTTTAGGTCCGGGTGTAGTAAGGTAAATAGGCAAATAAATTAACATTTTAAAATCACATATATTTACAATTATTACACAATCGTACATACATTGAACCAAATATCTTACGATACGTATTTTATTGTCTTTAATTACAAAATTAAAACTTTACAAGGTGCTTAAAAATTACATTATGAAATCTGTCAATCAATTAATAAAACTGTAACATAGAGTATATAAGCAGAAATAGAGACGAAATAAGGGCCATCCATCCCTGGCAACTGATAAGAAAGTGGGCCATAAATTATCTACTCAAGTTAAAAGTGAGTGAAGGGATTATCGTGATGATATTAATTTATTTTTTGTGAAATTACTCCACTAGTTTGTGATAATTATTAATACAATCAATCGAACTCGAAGAAAAATTCCTTCGACCTGACGGAATTCGAAATGGCCACCGCTCTACCAACTGAGCTATTGATCGAGTCAGCAGACATTGCGAATTTCTCGTGTTTGTTAGAGATCTTTTGAATTGGGGTTTTTCGGCTTTTGTCGCCGTAAGCGGCACCTGTGAGAGATCTGTTGAGGTAATGTCGTATTTACAATTAAAATTTGAAACTATTTCAAATGTATAAATGAAAATTATTGAGTAACATGGGAAGGAGGCGTTGCACATTTAAAAATATTTCGCAGGTACAAGTGAAATAATATTGCGTAACACGGGATAACACTTGTCGAATTTAAAATAAGAAAATATTTCAAAGGTACCAGTGAAAAACGTTGAAAGTCAGTTTTGTAAAACTAACGTACGTAAATCGTTACATTACAGACCAATGACCTAGTTTTATGGGATTGGAAGTTTGTAATACTTTTAATGTTTTGTAATTAATGGTGTAACCTTAACAAATGACACTGCTTTCGGATCTAAATCGCATTTGTTTTTTCAAACAAACCAACGTGCCAGGCCTTTCGGAGGTCGCATGGTCACGGCTGACTGTGATGGTAAAGTCATTATCCAGTTGTCTGGGCTCAGTCACTAGCTTGAGGTTACGCTATAAGTGGCTACCGCTGAATGTATCGCCGACAGTGCAAGCGTTCAGACAAGTCTTTCATTTACATTACAATCTTTGTACAACCCTAGTATTCGATTCCGCAAGACTGCACACGGCAGCAAGGTTATCTGTGGGTATGTCTAATATTAATAGTTTCATTTGTTACGTGTAACAATCGCGAAAACCTAATAACGGTGCAATCTTTTTTATTATGAGTACGAAAGAAATAATATTATTATTATACTATGTAATACATTTTATTCTCTATAAAGAAATAAAATGTTTAGGTTGACAAAAATAAGAAAGACTGAAATAAGAAAGTTCCTTTTGCCGTAATTTTTTAGTAGCATACTATAAAAACGATAAAATATTTTTTATCGTTTTTAAATTTCACATAGGTTGTCAGAGGTAACCTACGAGAAAAGAAAAAATCCTAAGTAGACACATTATTATGAGAGTTACGGGAAAAAATAGTGACCCATGCGCCCACCGTGATCCCATGCGTGATCCACAGGCACTATAGAGTTATTGCCACCCGCATTGTGTCAGTGTGATGGCCTACGTCTAAAGTCTAGCATCAGTAGTGCCTATTGTAGAATTGCTATAATTAAAACATAAAATGTGTTAAATGATGAGATCAATTTGCTACAAACTACTGACGATGAAGATTCTCTCTAGCAGCACCGAAAAGCACCATATGACGTATAATATATAATATGATGTATAGCCCAGTGATGTTTGGTTTTTGATGATTAAATAACTCTTTTGTTAGAAGAATGAAAAAGTACTTTAGTTACTAGAAAATCCATTGACTTACAATTATATGGACGTCGGGTCCGCGCTAAAAAGTGTCCGCACTTGTAAGGCGCTAAAATCGTATACAGAGCGCCAAACTCCGCTTTAGTCTTCATTTGTTCTACTGACAGCGCGATACTGCGATGACATTACAATTTAAATTTCGAATAGGTTGACTTGGGACATTTTTTTCGTGGTTTCTGTATTAGACCCGTCGTCCATTTATTTGTAAGTCAATGAGAGATCCTATATACATATGTTAGACATGTACTAATGTGCGCCTGCCGGTGCTACCCGCATCTTCTTTTTCATTTTTTGTTTAAAGAAATGTGTTCATTTTAATGCATCGCAGGGTTGCGTCGTCGCTTGGCTGCGGCAATTTCAAGCGACCCTTATTGTGAAAGAATACCACAACACGTAAAAACGACATGTAGAAACGATATGTAGATATCTAGCCCTAATATCGTCAAAGTCATATATTTCGTCGCCTTACTTTCTCAAAATCGTATCTTATAAAGAGTGTGAATTTGGATTTTTAAGAACATTACTTTAAGAACAGGTAAAAGCCGGTGTAAATAATTGAAGGAAATGTGCCGTGAAATCAACCTGCAACATTTGTATACACAATCCATTTTTTGGATTTCAGTAACTTTGAGAAAGTAAGTGGAAATGACTATTGTTTTTACGGCAAAAGGGTTGATTTTGCTTGTCTCGTCTTACGCTTATATTCCTTTTATTCTGGCATAATAAAAATAAGATAGATATCGCTAAAATCACGACCTTAATAGAATTGGAATAAGGACAGTGTTAAGTAGCAGTCATAATTTAAAATTTAACAATTTTATTTCTGATACTCAATTGACGATAACACAACTTAGGGTAGTAGTATAATTTAAAAACAAAAATTATTTTTTCTAGTCGATTTTTTTTCTAATACTCCTTGTATTGGAAAAGAGGTAGTATACATTTCTAAATAAATTTGGATTGACAAGAAATTGTCATGAGACTGAATAATCATAACTTAATCTTAACTTAAGTAGGCAATCTGAACACGTTTCTGATGCCCGCCATTAGATCTTGGACGACGGCGTCGTCATTCTCGTATCCCGCAGATTGCATGTGGTGTGATACACTCGAAATACACTGTAATTTAACAAAATAATGATTATTTTTTATCTACTTCAAAAAGAGGAGGAAGTTCTCAATTTGACTGTGTTTTTTTTGTATGAATGTTGCGCGATAACTCCGCCATTTGTGAACAGATTTTGATGATTCTTTTGTGTTGGAAAGAGGGTACCTCCATAGTGGTCCCATTTAATTTTGAAGAATATAATCCACCTAAGGTTGGCTGTTCACGCATGAAGATTCATTTTTATAAATAGCACCAAAATTTTATTATAAGGAGCAATTATTTTAATGGTTGATTTTGCTATTCTCCAATTCAAGACTTTTTCTCTCTCAATATACTATGAGTAGCGCAATGAGTGAGAACCGATTTTTATTATCTCCTGTGTAAAGTCCCGTATAGTGGCGAACTAGGGGATGAATCCGGGTTTGCGCACTTTCCGGTAACCGATTTAAATAAAACTTGGCAAATAGTTGTAATTCCACGTACTTTAGTACTTTGCCTGTACTGATATTATTTATAAAGTTTTTAATGCACTATTTTGTTATTATTATTTACATGAAGATCGAACAAATACAAAGAAAAATTCCTTCCATCCCATTGGATACGAAGTAGCGTAGAAGCAGCCACGTTGTGGCAACAGACAGTCGGAATTCTTTTTCGTGTTTATTTATCTTTGTATCAATAATAATAAGATAATTGTTTCAAGGCAACTGTACGGGCATAAATTGTTACATAGTCAAAAAAGCAGTACGGTCAACATCAAAATTATTGGAACAGTAAAAAAACCACAAATACCTATACATTCAAAGTTCATTGTATCAATATACTTTGAAGATAATGGGGTTGACCCATAGTTTCCTAAAGTGATACCTACCGCCCAATGGGCGCTGTGCTACCGCTTTTGAAAAAAAAACCCGAATTATCTATATAAACTACACTACAAATATATAATTTCTTGCCTTGTGATTTTTTTGTGTTAAGTTAATACAAAATTACGTGTTTTCAATTATTTTTTTTAGTGGTGGGCGTTGCAATCTTTTTATCTTGCCTAAGTGGGCGATGAGCAAAAAAGTTTGGGAACCTATAGGTTGGCCCAAAATTGAAACCCTACGTATGACTTTAAGAATGAAGCAAACAAGGATAGTTGCTCGCTGCCTGCGCCCACACCTGAATTAATGACGCGGTTGTCAAGGCTTTGACGCGCAGTTTCCGTCGAGTCACCGCCGCGGAATCTCATGATTAAGGATTAACCACGGACTGATTCGAAACGTATCGAGCAAAAATTCGACTTAAATACAAGAGTTGTCGGTTATATAGCTTCATAGCGCACATTTTAAAAATAGGCAATGTTTTGAGTTTATGATTTATGAAACTACCTAGAACAGTTACAATTATTAATAAAAGATCTATCACTCGGAAAAAATCCTTTGATCCGGCCGGATTCGAACTGACGTCTTATACCGTGCCAGACGCTATTCTTTTTTTCGTAATCTTAATTGCACTTAACTTCAATGCCATAAGGATGATTTTCATTATAATTTTGAGCAATCTAAGATAAAATTTACCTCTTTACAGGTGTAGATAAATATGTTTTCGTTAGTTTAATCTATTGGATACTTTGATGTTGGCTATGAGAGGTCTTTTAGATTTAACCTGTAACAAATATTATTTTCGCATCGGTATTTTTTTTATAGTTTGTTTCAGTTTTCTAGAATTTTAAGGTACGAAAAATCCAAGCCCTTTAGCGACTTTCGATGGTGACTGTACTTCGCGCTTAACGAAATTAACAAAGCAGACATTCGATGGTTGGTTACTTATTGCTGTACCTTTTCCAAATAGGTCATAGCGGCCTGCGGACAGATGTCCCTCGCCATATCAACGCTGTATTCAGTCCGGTCGGCATCGCGTATCGCGCGAAGTTCATCCAGGAACGATCGCACGTTGTCCGTTGTCAGATCAGGGACCAACTTCACACTGAACTGGTAGCCTGTTGGTATGTCTGCGTCGTCGTCAGAGTCGTCTTCGACACGAATGCACCTAGGAAATTATAAATGAAAATTGTATGTCAAATGAAGCTGCATTGCTAGTGGCGCCTCTGGTGGAAAATAATGACAAACAAACTGTATTGTAGCATTTTTTTATAATGTCAAGGGACGGGACGAACAAGTCGTGCGCCTGATGGTAAGCTACACGCCTGTCAATAACAGTTGTAGTGCCACTCAGAGCTTTAAATCCGCAAAGATCTGAGGGGCACTGCCTGAGACATAAGTTGACTAGTCGCATGTGCCTGTAGTTTTACCTGCACCCTTACCCTTCAAAACCGGAACACAGTAAAGCTAACATTATTTCTGGAGGCAGAAATAGGTAAGGTGGCAGTACTTACCTGGACGAACTCTTTCACAAGGAGCTCTAATACTAAACAAGTAGTGTAACTCCATACAAACGTAGCACAACGCGGCATGTAAGCCAGTCGCGCATCGTGTAAACACGCACATTTTCGCGTAATCTCGCGGTGCACTCGAGTTGCACGCGCTTTCGTTAAAGAACTTCTGTCTGAGATTCACTTACGGGTTCCAGCTAAGCATTTACGTAACAAGTCACTAATTCATTTCGACTCCTCCTACGTAAAGTATCGTATGTCGAAATTGCCAAATTTACAGGGGAGCGTTTTAAAGTTCTCCGTTTTATTCGGCAAAGCTCGTCACTCACATACAGTGATCAGATCTAATAGATCATTATAGATCATCTAACCGATATCTAGGATTTTATAATACTCTATGTGAGTAACGAGCTTTGGCGAATAAAACTGAGAAATGCTAAAGTCACGTATTATGCTTATTTCAGTGAATGCAGAACTTTAAAACTCTCCCCTGTAAACTTGGCAATTTCGACGTACGATACTTTACGTAGGAGGGATCAATTTACCCGTCGCTTTACAAAATTACAAACGCAATTCGTTTATATGGCGTTCGAGCAATAAATTTAACAAAGTTTCAGCTCTCTACGATTTTTTAACACAAACTGTACGTTAAAAAGGTTTTATCTAATTCATTTGTTTTATTACTAAAGTAATTTAATTTGCGTGATGTTACATTCTTCCTATCATGTGTCATGTGTGTATACAATGTCGTGTAGTTGTTTAGTGTTGCCAATTCTGTATTTTGCTATTGCATTTTTATCAGTAGGGAAGTGTTTGCTTATAATTATTTAATATAGTTTCTATTACATTGTCATACAAGCTGTTTGTACCCTCAAAAATAAAAGAAATAAATAGAAATGAAACGTTAATTTGTGTACGGTAAATAAGTAATTACTAACGAGGGTCTATTAAAGCAACGTACCGGTACTGAGTGGCAGTGCGACCCGTGGGCCAGTGCTGCGAGGTGATGAGGCCGAGCAGCGGTGCGGGGCCTCTGAGCCGCTGTAGCAGGCGTTGCGAGCGAAGGTCGGCCACAGACGGAGCCGCGGGGAACGACGGGTGCGAGTGGTGCCACGCGCAAACCACGAGCCCGAGGGAGATCAGGCACTCTGCCGCCTCAGCTTGCGACACTACGACACACGCACGATTTTAACGTCTGAGGCCTTACCATGAACTCTTATTACCTTCTCCAATAACTCGTCTTTACAGATATCACCACCTTCTCGACTTACTTCAAATTCCCGGCCTCTAAGTGCTGGAACGATTTGCCTCCTATAAGAAACCTAACGTCGTCATGGGCTTTCAAAAAAGAAATGCAAACTTTGGCTACTTTCGAAGCAGTACTCGGCAAGTAATTGGATGTAACTCCATCTATACATCGTATGTACTCGAATACGTGGTTTTATTTTTCGTTTTGTATTTTTTACGTGTACTGTTCATCTCTATCCAAACTTGAAATCGGATTGTTCTAAAGTGCTATGTTGTATTATTGAATGACATAGGTACCCAATATGTTTATATAGGTTTAAGTCGTAATGTTACTTGTAAATTATTTAGTGTTAATGGCTGTTTTGTTTTTATGGAGCCGGTCGAGATGCGTCACATAACTCTTATTTCAAATGTAGCAAGTTTCTTCAAAAGGGTGGGGTCTGAAAAACAGTTTAAGCTAATACCTTTTTATTTATTACACACAATCAGTGGCGGATTTTTCCTAAGGCCCACGAGGCCTAAAAAGGTCGCATTGGCAGAATTATAATATGATCCTAACACGATTCATATTTCAAATCGCAAAAAGGTCACTTAACTGACATTCATATTACGAATTGCTAATAATTCATATAACGCAATTCATCTATTGTTCCATGGAAATGCGCAAAATGGTCCAAAAAAATAGGAATTGCTTCTAAGTCAAACAGCAGAATCGTAAGAAGTTACTCGAGAGCAACATTTTACAATTCCTTTCCTTATATTATTTAGAAAATTAATTGAAAATTGCTGATTTAGGACTATATGAAAACTTTTTGGAGCGCGAGTGGGTCACGGAACGACTGTTATACCGTCTCAGGAGTGCTAATCTTCGAAATACTTCGAATAATTGAACTTTCGTTCAAATTCCCAGACTTCGAATGTAGCGGGCTTTATAGGCTAAATAAAAGTTTGTGTCGTGAACCATACAGGAATTTGAGCCTTATTTGCCCGCGCGAGAGGTGCAAAAAGTATAACTACCAAGGTAAGTGAAAGAATCATTACTACCATAAGGTATATTAATTACACTCATGTAATTTCATTTATGATTTAACTGTTTTGTATAAGGTACCTATTAAGTTTTTAAGCATCTGGGTTTATTGGAGCTAGCGTAGGTATACCACATAATGCACCAAGTCCATGTCTCCAAATGCATGAGAGCTGTAACAGTGGCCTTCAACAATGACCATTTTAAGAGAAAGTACATCAATTTTCCAAGAACTCAGGAAGAACATGTTACCCTTTATAGGGTAATATTAAGTCTGTCTTAAATAATCAATGGTAATTATCTATAAATGTAATGGTTTTTGTATTATAACACTTATTTCTTCAGATTCTACCAAAAGTTTAGTATGCTTAAGGTGTTAGGAAGTAATAAGAATAAGGTAGACCTACAAAATTTGAAAACAGCAATTCTATAATAGGAACAGATACCATTCTCAATTGTTAAAATAGTTTGTATCTACCTACCCAAGCAATTTTACATTTCTATATTATTAATTTAATTTATTTCTATGTGCACTTAGATATTTCCTTTTCAAACACTTATGATGAAAAAAAAAACAATTTTAAGGTCAAACTAATTATATTTTAATATTAAAAAAACATTTTTTTACAGATATTTTGATTATTTATGTGTTGTTGTTTTTTCAATTCTTTCCGTAATGGAAAAGGTAAAGGTTTCACACCATACAGCCAAGTCTTGGCAAATTTTTCTTCCTATTTGTTGTTGTAAACTTCTAACTTATTGCCAGCCGAATGAATGAAAATTTATGAAATTCTTGGTTTCTAGGTAATTTAATCTTTTTAAGTTATTTTATCGATGAACATACTTATTTATACTAAATTCTCGTAATAAACCTGAATGAAATAAATACTATAAAATCGAAAATAAAAGAATCGGTAAGTTACGGTTTTGCTTTTTTTGATATGGCAATTATAACGCCTAAGCAGAATTTGCTGGTGAATTGAATTGGATATAATTCATCGGAATTTGGGACCATTTTACGAAAATAAGAGGATTGCGACAGAATTGCAAGGAATTCTGTAAATGAATTGCTTTTAGCAGAATTGCATGATTTGGCCTTTTTAGGGCCCCAGTATGCCTGGGCCTAGGGCGGCCGATCGTGACAAAAAATTCACTGATAACAAGAAATAAGTCAAAGTACCTAAATGTTCTAAAGGCTCACGCACATTATGGCGGACAGTATTGCACCGCATCGTATAACAATAGTCTTCCTAAATCATTTTCGTACATTTTATGTACCTATAATATGTATAAAATCTATAATATTATGTCACTACATCACTACGTATTAGCACTACCGCGTCAGTCTGTCTGTCTGATCGCGATAAACTCAAAAACTACTAAACGGAGTTTCATGCGGTTTCCACCAATATACTGTCACTCTGCGACAGTGAAATTAATTATGTAGTCCACCAGTATATGATGAGTGCTGAGAAAGGGGCGGCTCGTACTGACTACATGGCCTGGGGCCTAGGGAGGCCAAGACTGCAAATCCGCCACTGCACACGAAGTTATTTAAGGATAAACTTATATATTACTGTACTCATCATCATTCAGCCATAGGACGCCCACTGCTGGGCATCGTATGGCTGAACCCCCAACGATCTCCACGACGATCGGTCCTGTGCTGCCCGCATCCATCGGTTTCCCGCGACCTTTACCAGATCGTCGGTCCACCTGGTGGGGGGCCTACCACTGAGCGTCGTCCGGTGCGACAATCAAAAAAAAAAGGAGCGACGTCCGGTTCAGCTGAGCAATTCTTCGAGCTATATCGCTTACCTTAGTTCTCGTACGGATTTCCTCATTTCTGATTCTATCGCGTAGGGAAATACCGAGCATCGCTCTCTCCATTGCCCACTGAGTGACTTTGATACTTTTTATGAGGCCCATAGTGAGGGACCACGTTTCTGATCCATATGTGATCACTGGCAACACACACTGGTCAAAGATTTTCGTCTTGAGACACTGAGGTAATTTGGACGCAAAGATTCTTTGTCATTGCTATGTTGAGTGTGTGCGTTATTATTATTGCATTATTACTTTAAACTTTACTTTACTTACTTTTAACTTTAAACATTAAAATTACTAAAATAGTACTTTTAATGTGACTGAATACTGGCAACAGTTGCAGTACTCTGAATTTTTATTAGACAAAGAAATAAAATTAGTTTTTTTTAAATACTGTTTTATTTTACTTTCAACGCAGTTTTTTCGCAAATGTATTAAAAACGTCGTTTGATACACGTGCGGATTTGTCATTTTCACTTGTCTCGAGACTCGTGAATAAACGACTGACTTTCCGCACTTGTGTCAAAAATAACCATATAGCGTAAGGGCATTCACAAGTTATGGTGCACTTATATTTAAACTATATATATGTTTAAATAAGCCTCATATTCGTATAGTATTTAGCAAATGATGACGTCGTAAAGTAGACGTAAACAGTGGCGGGGCGTGTTACTTGTTTTTTTTTAAGGAATTCCCTGTACTTGAGTATCTGAGCAACGGAATTCTGGGGCACTTCCCATTTTTTTTTACGATACCAAGTGATGGGATGAACAAGTCGCGCGCCTGATGGTAAGCGACGCGCCTGTCCATAACAGTTGCAGTGCCACTCAGAGCTTTAAATGGCAAAGATCTGAGGGGCACTGCCACTAAACAACACACAGAAATAGGTAAGATGGCACTTACTATATAGATAGTACTTTGACGAACTCTTTCACAAGGAGCTCTACTGCTACTATTTACTGCGTGATTGTCATTACACTGTTGTGCACAGGTCTCCATTCGGGTCAAGAAAATCCATACGCTCTAACCTGGGTCTACAAAGTCTAAAAACACGCTCTTCTGATGATTTATACCTGGGTCCATATCGCAGTGAGTGCCTCCCGCGGCGGCAGCGGCGTGTCGGTACGCCTGCACAATGAGCAGAGGCGCGCCCCCCTCCGCGTCCTCCACGGCGCCCCCCGCCAGCCCCATCACCTCCCCGCGCGACGAGTGCGCGTGCACGTCCATGCTGACCAGCGCAGACACGTGCAGGCGCACTTCGAACGGCGCCTGCGCAAAGCATCATACATAAACATAAGCAGTAAGAAAGTTGTACTAAGTAGAGCGTTGACACCGTGGGGAACTTTCTAAAAGTTGCTTCTCTGTTAATGGGTAATTTTAACAGTAAAAGATTCCTCTTCTGCGTGAAAGATATCATTGTGCAGCGGCCCTTGGTGGTCCATAACCTTCAAACTCATGATTACAAAAGTAAAGATGCTAATTCCAATATATACATAAATATACCGTACTATTTTACATGACCTAAATAAATATAAAAGCACTCAAATAGCAATTACGTAATGTAAGAGTTAGAATAAACGCACATAATATGACCAATAAGTGTTCAGTGGACAGACCACTGAACAGTTATTGGTAGCCATAGCTACCAGTAACTGTCAATATGTTCACTTTGTAATTGTAATTTACTGCTAACATAGTTACCAGTAAATTACAGTACCCGATTGGTGAACTGTTTTACAAATAACTTTGGTGCTACCACATGTATTAATACCAAATTTTTACTAGTATTTCACTGTTAAATACTCGAAATAATATAAAGAAAAAATAATCATAATCATCACTTTGGCGGGATTGTTGACGTTTAGTGTTTGATGAAGACTTTAATTGTGATACATGACATTATTAATTAATTTCTGTAATTATTACCTATCAAAATGATCGTCAGGATGTGCTTTTTCAGATGGTGTTAAAAATTTTAACATTTGATATCTTATTGGAAACACAATCTATTGGAAAGAAGGTCATCAAAGTGGAGGTCATTGCACCTTGTGATTGTTTTTTGAAAACAAAAAAAACTTATTCATTATTAAAATACTTTTTGGAGTAAAATATCACTCAAACACATAACTTTATTCAATATAGGTTGTATTGAAACCTTTTTAAGGTCGTTACATTGTGAGTTGTGATAGTATTCGTCAATTTTCTTCCTCGCGACTGTTATAAATTAATTTTAAAAAAAGTTACACATTATTTTCATATGATTCTAGTGTTAATCGATAGGTATTTAAATGCTTGTCATCTTTGTATATGTTTTGTTTCATAATACAGTTATACAAAGTTGTTAGAATTTCTACAATGAAAATTTCTCAGACGTGTTCAGTGTACTCAGAAATTAAGACGTAAAGTCGTCATATTACAATCATAACTATAGTCTAAACAAAAGCTACTTATGCCCAAACGCAAAATAGGCGCTTTGTCGTCGAGTTGCGGATATCAGCCCGTTGCACCAAGTACCAAGTACCAAGCTACTTATGCTTTTACCGCCCATGTTATTCTTTTTACGGTAACTTAATAGGTTCTTGAGTTTCAAGTGTTTATATTACACGTGTCTTATCGCCGCCCCTAATGTAAACAATAAAAAACGTACCATCTGATTAGAAAAGTGACAGGTATCAAATGTCATGCGCGCCGACGATCGAGTGGAACACATAATCATAATAAATACACACATGACCTTAGAACATATACACACAAATGAACATACCGGTTTCTCTGCGTTGTACACTCGGCAAGGTATCAATGAGACGGGCTGCTTTTTCGGTGCACGCTCCTTTCGCGGCTCGGGGGCTATCTCGTAAAGATCCCCGGTATCTGTATGCATTATTGTGTAGCCGCCCCCGCCGTCCTACGATCAAAGAATCGTATTCATAAATAAACAAATAACGTACACACACGCACTATAAATAAAATAAAAAAATAAATAAATAAAAATAAAAAAAAAATAAAAAATAAAATGCATTTATTTCGGACAACAATGGATCCATAGGGTGTTAGTATTACAAAAATCTTACATAACTATGTTAGTACGCAAACTTAAATGAAGGGAGGACCAGTACTGAAAAAATTCACTGTCCCATCTGTCTGCCACAACTGACAGGAGTCTGTGGCGGCTGGCGCGCACCCTACGCATCGACGCGGCGCAACGCTTGCGCAATGTCGCGTCGAAACCGTCAACGCTCGCGTCGGCGAACATCCCGGACGCACTACAGTATCGCGGTAGCCGCAAGAGAACCCTGAACGCGTCGTTGTACTGTACACGCAACGCATTCAGAGAACGTTTCGTGTATTTGCACCATAAATGTAATGTATAAATGAAATATATAAGGCTCAATTTATACAGACGCAGAAAGGCAGTGAAGAGTATTTTGCAACTATAGCCATTATGAAATTTACGTGAACAATATTGCACAAACTAGACATGAACCAAAAAAATAGGTCACGCTTATTCCATAGAATTCTCGCGAAGTCTCGGGAATTCTCGCGAAGTCTCGGGAATTCCCGCAGCATTTAATACAGTATCGTATCTCGTTTGTACATTACACAATTCATATAAAGTACATTATGCTATGTATAATTGCGTTCCAAAAATTCGTTTCCGTACAGCGGCAATGTAAATTGAACCTAAAGATAGAAAATAAGTGATACCAAATTGATTTTCTTCTGTCTCTTGGGCATCGGTTCAAATTTCCTTAAAGGCACTGCTATAGGTTCTTCGGGTCGTGATCCTTCCTTCGCTTTTGGCTTTTCTTCATTATCACTGTCTACGTCTACTTCTATATCACTCTCGGGATCTGAATCTTTTTTCTTTTCTATTTTTATCTGGAATTATTTTCAACCTTTGAAACACCTTTATTGGTTCATGAAACTGACAATATAGAATTTTTGGCAATACTCATTGCATCGTGCCAAGATCATGTCAAGATATATTTAACTGTATTAGTAGCATAACATGAGTGATTGTAGCTAATATTTCGTTACTTGGGTTTCATTACTATTCTGTATTTCCAGCTTAATGTTGCTGTTTAATCCACTGATTATAATAGTAAGTATATGTTAAACTTTTGATACTATTTTAACAATGTTTCTTATTCATAACTAGTAGAAAAATGTGGGAAGTGGCAACACAGGGAAAGATAAAGGATCAGTGTTATTGGGCTGTTTTCCACCTTACAATAATAATCTACTGAAGTTTCCCTGTCAAATCAGCAAAGAGGAGTCTTGGATACATTCACGATATTCGATTTATTAATAGATGCGTTCACATGTAATGTCACGATAGCAACTGCACAAATGTGCAAGTAAAGTGATATACAAACAGGTAAAAAGATAGACATGACAAAACTATTGAGGTTCCTAGGTCAATTATGGAACCCTAAAAGCTCTAGTTCAGTCAGAGTAATAACATAATTTAATCAATTAAGTTCTAAACAACAATTTAATAATTATAATGCTCACCACTTGTTCCCCTTCTGAAATAGGCAATGCTAGTCCAGAACCCAAGACAATTTGCATCTTAGGGCTTTTTGTACTGTCCTCAGAAAAACTAGAGTCCTTCCTCTGTCTTCTTTGAGGAGATTTCAATGTATCTTTACTTCTATTCCTAGGCCTCCCTTTATCGTAAGTCCCTAATACTTTTCTCCTATGATTACCAATCTTTTTCATAGCTTTAACCTTCTCTTTTTGTTGTTTTGCCATCTTCTGATAAATTACATCCATGGAATCCTTATCAGAACCTATAGACTCTGTTGAACCAATAATCAACTCATCTTCATAGAATATTTCTGAAGGATTAATACATATGTCATTCTTCTTACTAGCTAATAAGGCATCAGGTTTTAGTAAACTGTTCTTTGCCTTTGGATTGTTACCTTTCTTTCTGAAGGGTCTCTTTGGAAGAGTTATAGTTGGTGAACCTGTCGCAACCATATTGAGAACATTAGGCAAGTCTTCAGTGACTATTTCTTCCTGAACTACACTGGGTACATCTTCCAAGTCGTCATGTTTGTCCAATCCGAACGATGGAGTATCCAGGCGCACCCCGTATTCTGCTTCTATTAAGGCTTGGATTTCCGCTTCAGTCTTTGTTTTTAGAGTTTGTGAAATTTTACGTACATTTCTGCCGTACTTGGCCTGAAAACGAAATAAACTTTTATTATTATTTAATAATGCATCTCTCTATATTGCCTCGAATCAAAACAAAACAACATTTGTGAAAACCTTAAAAACAACTACATTTAAGATACTAAGTAAATGTTAACAGTCTAAGAGGCAAAAGGAGGTGTCTCAGCTGGTGCTGTATCAAATATAGATTTTAATTTTGTTTGTTTCACTTCAGTTTTTTTTAATTTACCATTTCTCTCATCAGTAAATTCTTCTCAGTTTGGCTCCATGTAGTATGTGACTCTTTTTTGAATTTTTCTCTAGAGCTATTTCCAGATAATTTCCTCGAAGGGCCGTCCCTGAAAATTTAACACAACTATATTCTATTAAATTTTGTCAACAAATTTGCTTCTCATAAACACTAGTGGTAAGACTAACATAAAAAAGAAAACAGTGGCTTGCAGAGTACCTATTTCAGTACCAGACTGTCTACTGTGGCTGCTTTCCAACTCTACACCCTTACCTATGGCTATCTTTAGACTGGATATCATACCAGTTGGTCGACACGGAGTCTTGGAGCCACTGCGGGTGTACTGTGTCCTCTCGGTTGGAGCATGAAGGTCTAAAACAATAAAAATACTTTCTGTGTGATCTTATTTCTCATTATTGAATTATCTACGTCTAATAACACATCCTGTGCAGGGTGGTTGAATACATATATGGTGTCTAGTCGACTCAGGACCATCAGACTATACATGAAAGTATATTACCTGACAGTATGCGCCTGAGCAAAAACAGAAGACTAGACTATATTGACATGTTAGCCATTGATATTGAAAACAAAAACAATACAGAATTTAGTTAACTAATATAGACAAAATTCTGAGATAGGTTTCGTTTGCGTCGGGACTGGGTTAATTTTCAAACGGCTGTGACCCTTCTCCTATATCTCCAAAGATTGATGGTATGATTGGTTGATTGGTGATCAATTAAGATTGAAATAAACAATTTTTAGGGCTAATGTAAAGTAGGGCAAGAGACAAAGCACTAGAACCAATTAAAAAAGAGAAAAAGGAATGTGACAATGAGATACCAGTATATTAAATTTAAATATTCAATAAAATATTTAATGATTTTAAGAAAAGTGGTTATTCCATAAACAAACATCACTATTTTAAGTTTTCTTACTTGACTTTTTATTCTTTAATTCGTGAGCATTATAATAGTTTAGCGAAAAAAGTGTTAGGGATATAATGAAGAAGGAATAATTCGCAAAACAATGTTTATCTATTGTTTTGAAAATGCGTTAATGTCAACAAAAACATGTCAACTTTTCTGTTGAATTCTCTAATAAGCGACATTATGAAAATAAAATACTTAATGTAAATTATTATGCCAATAGGAAAAATAGCGTAGAATTAATTTTACACTTACATCCCTTGGTTGTTCTGAGCGAAACAGGAATTAAACGAAAAATCTCCCAAAATATCAATCTCGTCGTCGTCCGCCATCTTTATTTAGATTTTTTTTACGAAAACAAATTTGGTTTACTATTTAAAAAAAAACCGGATACACGCCACCAGTTACTTCGTTAATCACGCTCACATAGGAGCAAACGCTCGGGTTTTAACGCAGCGCTTTGATAACGCCAAGTTTAAATCGCGTTAAAACCCATTACGCCCGAAATTTTTAAATTTATTTCTTGTAAATCGAGATAAAATTTTTTGGTCCCCATATCCATCTCAATATATGTACGTATTAAATTACAAGTTTCATCATCATAGAACTTCGAAATAAGTTGGAGTAAAAGATATGAATTTTTAAAATAAGTGAAAAAAAAACATGGAAGGTATTGTGTTTATTTTTGAAAGGAACACGACTGAACACGACTCACATTTTAACGTTTTGTTCTAAGCCTCGTGTAGACTTGTCATGATTTCTTCAACGATTGACTTCAACCTTAAGATAATTAAGAACGAAAGTTAAAACTTAATTACACTAACAAGTCTTTCCTAACTTGAACTTCAACTTTAAAGTTGGCAGAAAATTCAAGAAGAAAATTGTCCTAACGCTGAAGAAATTTTGCAAGTGTGAACGAAATTTCAAATTACATGTCAAAATCTAAAATGTGCTCAAAATAATGAAACTACTCGAATGATAAATTATTTTTGAGTCATGTCTGGTTGAGCTACGTTTTAAAATAAATGTTAACAGCGCATTCAATTTATTGAACATTTTATTTCAAAATATATTATTTCTTTCTGATCTAGTTAATTCGATTTACCTTTCATTGAATCGACTCATTTGAATATCACATTGAAATAAATTGCTAATCGGTACAAAAAACTTATTAGAACGTAAGTATGTACTAGAATCGATCTTCATAAAAATCGAATCTAAGGGTCGTATTCCAGAACTCTACTCAATGCTCAAGTCATTCAAGCACTGGAAATATGACCGTAATGTCAGGGACTTGAGTATGATTTCGAGTGCTTTAAACCATACTCAAATCCTGATTTGAGCATTGAATAGAGTTCTAGAATGCGACCCTTAATGATCATCGTTAGTAGTGAGATTCCATAGGATTGCAAGGTTGGTATTGTGTGGTGTTGCTTATTCTTGTGTAATATTTTTTTCCTTAAAAAAATTGTAATATGGAACTATATCAAATTCCATATTGATAGTTTGGGCGATAAGGAATTTTCGATTTTGAATGAATGAAAGCTTGGAGCGTTTTTGGTAAAAACCCAGGCGGGTTAATTGGGTTTTAACCAACTGCCCCTCTCTGACACGCTCACTTTGTACGTACGTATGTACATACATGACTATGACGTGTAGCGTGTATCCGATTTACGAAAAAACTGTATTTTTTTAAACTCTTTAGTGAGTCTTTAGTGCGGTATACACGTCCGATTTCGTGTCTGATGGTCGATCCGACTATCGGATCGGATTCACTTAATACACGTCCGATAGGCGGCCGATTCCTATGTCAGACTTTCTGAACTAACTGCAGTGTTGCCAATTTATAGGGAATTCCCCAAATACAGGGAATTTCAACTCAACACCTCGTTTGGGGATTTTGTTTGGATTACGCTATGTGGGGAAAATGCCCTCGCATTCTAGAATTTTACTTTATCTATACATAATTTATTTTTATATACGTATATATAATTTATCTTTTCAACATCGCACATGCACTGTGTATATACCAACGTTTATATAGAATTATTAGCAAACCGCTTATATGTATAAAATTATCCAGTAGGATTAGAATCACTTTGTCTTGAATTGTAAAATTACTACTATTATTAGTCACCAACAAGAGCATAACTCTTAAATAGGATGATGATGATCAGTCAGTGTGTGTTGAGCGCGCGATAATTCCTCGTTTTGACTGGTTCCCGGTGTGAAAAAAAAATTCAGCTGTTACCGAACAAAGCCGAGCATTATGCATCAGGGCCGTGACCGAGACGTGGACGGGGCGTGCTAGTTTGTATGAACTGCGGGCCCGTACCGGCGCTGCCCCGGACACGGACATGTATGAAATAGGTCATACAAAATAAACGCAACGATATTTTTTTGAGACCCTAACGGATGCACGGCCCGTCTACGTCCCGGGCACGGCCCGGATATGTATGGATAAACCTTAATATCACAACTTGCCCCTCGTCAAGCTTAAATATGAAGGTTTAAACTTAATTCAACTTGTTGAGTTTATTTCTAATTATAGCATAATGTATATGTAATAGATGGGCACATTTTGACTTTCTTAATTATTTGACATATTTTTAAGCGTAATAATAATAATATAACAAATACTGAGAATGAATAAATACATACATGTGGGAAATATGACTTTTGCTCTCCCCAAATTTATAACCTTGATTTTTGGGGATTTTGAATAATTTGCATTGGCAAAGCTGCAAATCGGACAGAAGAATCGGACGTGTACGGAGAGACGCTCCGTAAAAAGCTATACTTTTTACAGAGCGCGCTTTCAGGCAATCGGATCGGTAATAAAATCGGACACAATTTCCGACTCGGACTCCACGTGTATTGAGTGTTCATACAATTATATGGTACGAGCGCCTTCCAGTAGCAGTAGTCGGATCAGACTATCGGATGGAAAAAACGGACGTGTATTGTCCTTATAGGATGGAAAAAAATAAACAGTCAAGGTATTGTCGCACAAAATGTATCCATACTTTTTTTTTTCCGTCTTCTAAGATCCATACACTGAAAAAAGTCAAATGGAAATATTGAACCTTATTGAATCAAGTGAATTATGGAATAAATAAGTCCTTAAACAATATGAATAATGTGTAACGAAATAACAATAACAATCAGTTAAAAATACAGGATCGAAATTTCGAAATGCCTTTGCAAGTGAACTCTGAAAAAGTGAAGTGTTCAAAAGTACAAAAAAAATTATTGTCAGATGCGCTTATTTCTGACACAATTGGTAATAAACGAATAGTGAAAGACGTCTATACAAAAAAAACTGCCGTAATGCCGTAGACCTTATTGCCTGCTTTTACTCGTCTTTCTCACTTACTGACAATAGGAACAATTGAAACAATAAAATACTTGTTTTCAAAACCTGTTTTCGTTATTACAAAATAATAATTTGTAATTTAATTTAGTTAAGTAATGATTGCAAAACGGTAAATTCCTAGAAAACTGTATTTTTCAAAGTTTTATAGCGTCATTAGGAATGTGGTTGTTGTACCAACAAGTAGAATTTCATTATAGTAGATAGTAATTTTACTAGTGTTTTAGTCCGGTCCGGTTGAATGACACTATTTTCGGCGCTCTTATTTGGATGTCATATACATTTACTGACCTTGTGACTTATCATTATCACATATTTCCATATCGTGATATTTTATTGTATTGTGTGATTTCACTCTTGAAATAATTATCCATAAATAAATAACTGGGTTATAAGCAATTAGTTTTGTTTTTATCATGGCGCGAGGAGCACTTATCAAGTCTACAAAGCTCACTTGTGAGTATTATTTATTCAATCCTTTATTATTCAATTTAATTAAAATGTTTGGTAACGTTGTTTTATCGATTTATTTAGTTATATAACTAAAATTGCATAGTCACAGAAATATAGGTAAATGTAAAGCTTTTTTGTGTTGTCAACTATGTATTAGAATGGTGTTTTAAAATATGGCTGTGGTTCCATAAGTTGAAGTTAAAACGCATTGTATCTATGTAACTATTATCATACCCATAACTGTATTCTATGCTGTGAATGTTCTGATTTGGTTTATCAAAAACTTTTTGTTGTGCCTTTATTTATACTTAGTTAAGACAAACTTTGTTCATAACTAACATTCTGCTGAAATTTA